AATTCCAAAATGCTTGTGTAGTAGATAAATATACCCTGTAGTTGAGTTGATTCTGTTGAATTGGGCTATGAATAGCTCATCTTTGATTTATCTTTAAAAGTTTATAAATACTAAGATATTTAAATCAATTTCACTTTCTGCTTGAAACTGTAAAAATTAAATAAAAATATTTTTCGAATGGATTATATATTATTGTATATTTGTATATTGTATATTATATTTTTATTAGTATAACTAGGAAATATTAATTGCAAATATTTCGTTTTATTTTCTGTGTAAAAAAATGTTTATTCGTTTTTAAATAATATTTTTAAGTCGCTATTATATATATATTAATTTTTTGTATTAATTTTTGTTGTATATTAAAAAGTTGAAAGTTGATTTATATATAGTTTTTTTTTTACATTTTATTTAGATTTTAAATTTAATATATTATATTATTTATTTTTCATTTTTTTACCTAAAGCTTTTTCTGCGAAAAAAAATTTAATTTGGCTTCATAATGGAGTTTTTTGTATTCATTTTAGTTTTAAAATAAATATTGTTGTTTGTTAAGGTTAAGCATGCTCTTAGCTACTTACAGGGTATATTCAATCGATCAACTCATGACCGCTGTTTTGATTTGTAGTTTATAACATGAGCATATTTGCCACACAAGCAATGTGTACGTGTTTCTCTGTGTGTGTGTATGTAGTTGCCCTGAGGTCATTTTAGTTGGCTTAAACCATAATTGCAAGTAAACTCAAAGAGCTGTAGGTATTGAGAGCCGTGTTCAATAATGCCCTAAATATTAGTGTAATTATTTTGGTTAACCAAAATATCCATCTAAAATTTATCTTCTAAATGCTGAGGAAATATTTGCAGTTGCATGCGGCTATTGGCTCAATATTTGGGCTTCATGTAATAATATAATAATATTATATATTATGGATTAGTAAAAATATTTGAATAATATAATGAAAATGAATGAATTTTAGGCTCAGCTCTAAAATTTAGAGATTTTGCGCAGTTTTATGCGAGCAATGAAGCTGTGAGTGCTTCGTCTTCAGCTAATAAAATATATTTTAAATATTCAAAACGAATCTATAACTGTTTCTCCAGCTAAGAGTGAAAGCTCTTATTAACAAACTTTCTTAAAGATCCCGATAAGCCCCTATTCATACTGAACAGGGCATAGTCATTGGCCTATCTATATATATATATTGGCTTATCTATCTATATATACTTATATACATATGTACATAAATATATATTCTATAAACTCTTAATAGCAGCCGCTTCTCTGCTCATATATATATACTATATGCCTTAGTCTGCTACACAAATTGTGAAATGATGTTTTCCAGCAACAGTACACACCTAAGCCAACCACACACACACACTCAAGCCCACTCAACCACACACACTTTGCATTTGATCTCTAAACTAATTGTGGCTATCAATTTTATCAGCAAATTTTCGTCCACTCAATACTCGTATTTCATATCGATAGCGTAAAGCTGTCTCATTTATTATGCGCTGCAACAAAAAAAAGACAAAAAATGTTATCAAAGCAAATCACATTTAAGGCAAGGCGCAGGGGGCGTGGTGCCCGTCGATAAGGGCAACAGACAGGCGCTGCGGCCAGACGTTTGCCAAAAAAAAAAAAATATAACAAAATAAAACGAAAGCCTTTAAAGGTTAGGTTAGCCTTTTTTGTGTCTATAAGTTTTGTCACCCAAGCGTCCTTTTCTCCACTCCTTTCTCCTGCCTATGTGTGTGTGGGTTTGTGGTATAAAACGCAATGCATGTTGTCCTGTCGCCTGTCGCATGGTACGTTGAGTTTTCAAGCTTCGCAGACGCTGAAAGTTTTCTATTTACCATGCTCACTGTCAGCACTGAATGGGGTATATTGGGGGTATAGTCGGTGAAATTCTCAAATGGGAGACAGCTTGTTAAAAGAATTTCATTCCAATTATCCTTTATCAAGCAGCGTTAGTCCTTTCAAACATATCAAAATTCCATCGATTTGACTTTGCCAAAGAGGAATGTTTTAAGTCTACTTTTTGTTTGAACTTGGATTGAATATAAAAGCAGATATAAAGAAGAAAAATGTAAAATTAATTTTTTAATAAATATTTGATTTATTTTTAATATTTAAATCATTTTATTAAAATTTTTGAAATATTTTTGTTTATATATTAAAATACTTTTCTACTTTTTTAAATTTATGTTTTTTTTTAATTTTTGTAAAATTTGTAAAATATGTCTTATATATTTAATTACTTTTTAAATTTAAAAATAATCAAAACTATTTTCTTGAAGCTTTAATTCAAGGGAAATAATAATAGTAAATGCAATATTATTAAATATACAGGGTATTTATAAGTATATTATAAGCTAAAAATTGATTGAATAAATCAATGTTTGAGCGCATATTACGAGTTCTCTTTGTAACTTAAATTCAAAGAAAATTTAAAAGGGAAACTAATAGAAATTCACTTACAGGGTATTTAGCAGTCTATCAGCAGCAGAATGTAATTTAGATAAATTCATGGTTACCATAATATTTTGTCTTTTCTTTTAAAACAAATTTACAAAGATAAAAAATACACTTACAGGGTATTACACGTATATCACCAGCGGCAAATAAATGTAATAAATGACTGTTTGACCCAAGACTTTAACTGTTCTGCATTCCACTTGATTTCAATAGCAAAAAAACAACATTAATAAACTTACAGGGTATTTAGACGCTTATCATGAGCCCAAAATCTCTAAAAGAAAATAAATAAATTGATGTTTGGCATCGAGTAGCACCCTTTTTGACACCTTTAAATTTAACGCCAAGTTAAAGTAGCAGCGAGTGGAACCAAAACGTTAGCCAGAATCTTGGGATTCATGGATCGTTAGGCAGGTTCGGGCGAGTGAAAAGGGTTCGAATCCCAATCGGCTCCATTAAAAGTGAATGTTGAACATGTTCAGTTGTTTTTTTATTGGCTTTTATTAGTTTTTTGTTGTTGGGGGTTTATTGATTTTTAAAAAATTATGCTTAGACGCTAACTACTAACAAATTGTCCATTAACTAACGTAAATTTAATTAACATTTGGTATTCGATTTGATTTGGTTTTGCTTTCTCATAAATTTCATTTTAATACATGTTACAAGATTATTATAACTGTTGCTGATTTTTGTTTTCCTTTTGATTTACTTTGTTTTAATTTATATATATATTTTTGTATTTAATTTTATTTTACTTATTTTTTTGTTTTGAGTTTTTTTTTTACCACGTGTATTCGCTAGTAAATGCAGAAATATGAATTTTTTGTTAGTTTATCAACTGGGCTTTGGTTTAATTAAATTTCAATTTAAATTTAATTGTAGTCAATTAGTCTAGTAGTTGGTTTGTGTTCCTCTTCCTCTAAATATTCCTCTTCCTCTTTTACTGTTACATATAACGTCCTTTCTAGTTGGCTCGTTTAATTTAGTATTAAAATTACACAAAAATTATTATATACAAAATTATTTTACAGTACTTTTTCAGTTTGCTAGTTGCAGATTTCTTGATTTTGCCTTTTTTGTATTTGTTTTTATTTTTTTATATAATTTTTTTTTAGTTTTAGATTTCACCAAAAAGTTTTTGCCTCGCCAACATAAACTTTTGTGGCCACGTGACCAGCCAAGCAGCAACGGCCAGGTGCAAAATCATTTTGCAATCGGACACGTGCCTCGCTGTCCGTAGTTCAAGTTGTGTTGTTCTTCGGCAAATGTCTGGCAGGTTTACTTACGTGCTAAATTTAATGCCATTTATTATACAGGGTGTGTGTGTGTGTGTGTGTTTAACTAACTGTATCAAGTTTTATAAACTCTTTTACATAGTATATCCATAGTTCGCTTAATTTAAGTTAATTTATTTTCCTTTTGTGTATTTTGATTTTTTTTATTTAATATTTATTAGTTTTGGTTCACTTGAAAAAAAAGAAAAACTTAAAACATTTGAGGAAAATTTGAAAGATTAATATGTATATATGTTAACTACATCTTACATAGTTAAGCCAAATATATAAGGAGAATTTAAAGCAGTTGCTTAAATAATTTCAAAGAATATATTTTCTTAGTCAAACTTAGAAATAAATATTCTGAAATTGAAGAGAAAATTAAAAGAAATATTAACATATTTTTTTAACATTTCAAAACAATTTTTTAGTTTAGTTTTGGAATTTATAAAATTATAGTTTTTTTTAAAGTTGCATAGCAAACATTAACATTTCATTAAACTTTAATGTAGGACTATGAACATTTTTATTTTATATAAATAAATTAGATTAAAAAGAATTTTTACTATAAATTCATTTAATAGAAAATTTTTTTTGCGAATTTTGCAAAAAATGTTGATTGTGTTATTCATGATGTCGTGATATTAAGAAATTATTTTTCAGTAAAATAAAATATAAGTACAAAAAGAAAAGAAAAAAAATTTGTAGACTTTTTAATTAAAAATTCTTGGAAATATATTTCTATGATAGATAAAATGGAAGCACAAAGAAATCGAAATTCTTTTGCATCGAATTGTTCAAATTGAAAAAAAATCCTATTGCATTTAAATATTCAGTACAGTGAAATACTTTCAGTAGCTTAAAGGCTTAGAGAAGTAGTTTTTCTTTATTTTTATTTTTATTTTCATTTTTATAGCTATTTATATGTAGTATTTGCTATTTGTCAATATCTATTGAGAAGTAGGAGTACACGCAAAGGCTCTGCTTTAGTTTAATTCGTATTTGTGTGGCTTACAAACTAACCTAGGCTAACATGCACACGCGCACACAGAGAGCGAGAGAGAGACACACACAGAGATAGAGACAGACAGACATACACATACACATGTAGATGGAATACTTAAGTTTTGTAGTTGAGCTGAAATTGCTGCACAATCCACATCCACATCCACATCCGTTTCCATATCCTGGCATTACGCTTACAGCTGAAACATCATTTTTAACTACAACTTAACTATTTATTTTTATAATACAACTTTGCCGACTTCCGTCGTGTTGGCTTGAACGGCCCCAGCGCCAACACCACCGCCGCCCGGTCCAGCACCGCTGCCCGTTGCCACCACGGCCAGTGCATTGTCCACGCCCACTTGAGAAGGCGATGGCTGCTGCTGCTGCTGCTGCTGTTGCTGCTGTTTGGTTTTCGCTTTATCGTGCACGTACATCGCGGCAAGGGCATTGAAACGTGGACCCCAATTTTGTAAATAGTTAAAGTCTTGATTCTCATCGTCGGTGCCTGCAATGGGCATTCACAGCATGAGTGGGTAATTCAGTGTCAAGGTATTTTCGCTCAGTGCTCACCTGAGGCCAACGAGCTGAGCGACTCGGCAATGCTGCCGCTGCCCTCGAACGTGAAATTGCGCAGGTCATCGAAAGGCGGCGCATTGGGATCCTTGTCGATGCGCTGCTTGCGCTCCTCCATCAAATAGGCCACATTCAATTCCTGCCCAGGCGGCAGCAGTGTCATCACAGGATCTGAAAGAGAGCCGGGCTCAGGTCAAGCTCTGCCATCGTCATTTTTACTCACATATAATGGGCATCTTGCAGGCGGCTATGTCCGGTGGCATTGTGCCGCTCTGTGCGCTGATTGGTATTTGTAGTGGGGTTATGTCGAATGCCGTCATATCATCCTCGCCGCCGCCCTCGTCCTCGTAGCTAATCACCGTTTCGCGCACATCCTTTTCCGTTCCGGAGCGTTTCTTCTTCTTGGTGGTTTTGCGCTTGCGATTGTACAGCACGAATATCAATGCGAGTACTGCAAGTGAAGTGAATGTAAAAATGTTGTTAAAGCATGGCTCAAGCATGGCCATGAGCCGGCTTAAAGTTCACTGTTATGTGCAGAGTTTTGGAATTGTTGAGGATTTTGGATATGTCATTTCAGTGCAGCAAATTTATGAATTTTAAGTAAATTGCTGCATTTGAGCTTTGCTAACTTAGTGCAGCGAGAAGCCTTAAAAGAACTGCGAGGGCTTGGTTGATATGCATTTGTCTCTTTCAGTCACTTGAAGCCTTTTGGCAACTAGTTTTACCATTGCTTACAATTCTGAGAGAAAATAGGAATACAAGAAAGCTGATGAGTCAGAGGAAAAATTCTTGTTATAAATATACCCATTTCTTGATCTCAATTTGTGTGTTGAGCTAGGTGAAATTGTTGTTTAGTAATTTATAAAATATTTTATTTTTATATATTTTTAATATTTGATATATATATATTTTTAATATTTTATGTTTATATAATATTTTTAATATTTTATGTTTATATAATATTTTTAATATTTTCTATTTACATAATATTTTATAACAACTTCAAAGATTCTGCAGTTATGTGGATTAAGTTACAATCGAGAGTGCCCAACAAGTTATAATAGAAATTCGAAAAGTAGAAATTTCTTCAGTATCTTTATGAAATAGTCTAAAAATTTTGTTATTATTTATTTTTGAATTAAATGCGGAAAGCTTAGTGTTCTACAGAATAACCTTAGGCTATTCGTTCTGATCTGGAATATTTTCTATGGCTTCAAGTAAGGCTTATTCTGTCTATAACAGAAGATAGAAAAAATCCATTTATTCGCAGTAAAGGTTAGAGCAAAGGCTATACTTTATATAGAAAGCCGACTTGATACCTTTTCCTTAACAGATTACAGTTATAATTTAAAGCAGACGCACATAAAATGGAAGTTTTTAAATGTATATTTGCTGCAACGAAACTTTTAAAAACTTTCGAAATAAAAGTGCAAAAAAATCGAAAATTAGTTGCCAATTATGGGGAAGCAAAATCCTTTATCCATTAATACTAAAACTTAACGGTTAAATAAATTAGAAGTTAGATAGATACTTTGTGCGCTGTGTAACAGAATCAGATAATGAACTCGTTGCAGTTGGAGCCAACTCGCAATGCTTGATAATTGTGAGACCAAAAGTTTGTGCAAAGCAAAAAACCGAATGAAGTGAGGTGGAAGCTGGAAGCTGGGGAGTGAGGTGAAAGAGACAGTGTACACATATGCGACAATCCATGGCTGAGAGCTAGTCGGATTACCGGCTGAAGAGCAACAACGAGCATTTCAGCTGTGCAGCGAAACTTGTTAAGTTCTTTCGTTTTTTGCCGCTTCTTGGCTTTTTGTGTAGAGTTTGCTTAAGCAGCATAAAGTTATTAATAAGTTTTATGCTCCTCGAATCCTTTGGCAACATGTTCCCTATTTTTTTTATTTATTTGTCGCAGCTGCCATAAACAACCAACTGGATGTGGGGGCGTGGCTGCAGCGATTGCAAGTGCATTTTATCATTTGTGCTTCGGTTGACAGCAATATTAACTTGGCTGTTTGGGGAGATTCAGCAAACATGACAGTCAAGTAAAAATAATTAAAACTCTGAGCAGCTGGCAGCGGCAGGAGCAGCGGCAGGAGCAGCGGCAGGGGCAGGCAGCCATCATGCGGGTCTGCTCTGCCATCTTATTTTTCAGTTCTTGCTGCTTCTCTACATTTTTGGTTAAGCGGATTCATTAGTTGGGCCACAATAACTGGCAGCTGGTCGACAAGACAGCGCCAAGCCGAAACTTGGCCCAAAAAAGTTCATTAATAATAGCCAAGAGTTTAAACACTTCAGCACTTCAAAATCAAGCAGCCATCCTCACAGCGAACGCTAGTTATCATTACAGTTATTATCCGCAGGCTGCTATTAGAAACAGGAGTATTCTATTATACTAACACTCTCCACATCCATTATCGTTATGGAGCAGATACAATGGTATTTAGTTGTCATTTATACCCAGTACTCTTTGGTTTGTGTAAGGCTATCTATCTAGCTGCCTATCTAGCTAGCTCAGAGGCCAAGCTTATTTAATATGATTTCAACAAATATCGATTTAGAAATGGTTAAAAAAATCATTTTTAGCGCAAAACGTGTGTTTCGATAAATATCGATTTCTAATTATGAGTTGTATATCGATATATATCGATTTCAAATACATTTATGTATTCTCAAAATCTATTACTTGAGTCCATTCCGTTAGCATGTATGTAGTTTCTACACATATATTGCTTCGATAAATATCGACTTTCAATAGAATTCAAATAATATGCTGAGCTTCCATAAATATTGTATTTAAAATAGTTGTCACTGAGTAAGGATCCGAATTTCATGTCTTTTCCTGTAATAGATCATATTGATTGCATATATTGTGTATCGATAAATATCGATATTCAACTTATTGATGTTTATGACTCGCAGTTCAGATTAGTTTTTGTATAGCTTGAGAAAGTTAATATTGACGACGCGACGTTACTTTTGATGCTTCGATGTTTATCGATTTTTAATATTTTCTAGTTTAGCTAATAGTTGTATCAGTTGTTGTATAATAGTTGTATCAGCTAGAGATAGCAAGTATCTTGTTTATTTTGTCAGCTTACGAGAGCAATTCAAGACTTAGAGAAAGACAAGACAAGAGAGAAAGAGAGAGTTGAGCTTCGATAATTATCGATTTCAAAGCTCAACAAGAAACATTACAAATTTATCTTATAAAGGGCCAAGCTAAAGCTAAAGATTAATATACCTTAGCACTACCATCACAAATCGATAAGTATCGATTGTCTGAAGAGGCCTTTGCTTCTACATTATTTCCAACAAAGAAGGAGTATGTATCAGGTGTGTCTGCTGTGACCTCAACTCTTCCATGCTACTTTTTCGATTGCCCTTTCACTTGAACGCAAAACTTTGAACATTTTTCTCTAGATTTAATTAGCATCATTAAACGTAAATGGAGTTGTTGTTATGGCCACAGCCACCACCAACCACCAACACCACCGTCACCGTCACCACTGACATTGCTACTGACAGCCGACTTTTACCTTTCGGTATTTATTTCACATTTTTGCCCCAATGGCGTTTAGACAGACAGACAGACAGTTTGGCAGGTACGCGAAAATACTAAGAATCGTTCCAAGCAGTTAACGGCGAGTGCCGCATTTCAATTTAGAATTTGGTACTTGGGGTAAGTTGTGCAGAAAAACAGGTTACAGCATAGCAACAGCAGCTAATCAAAGCCGAAAAGCGATTTTAAGTGGAAACTTTATAAAAGAATTTACAAAGGGGTTGCATGATAATAGATTTAGCTTCCATTGAAATATCAAATAGTGAGAGATCAAGTACTGCAATTTTAGGTTTTGAGGTTTTAAGTATTGAGATATCAATGCTAAGGAAGTAGTTTGTTGATGTTTGCTCTTAGTTTGAATGATTTCCAGTTCAAACTCTTATACGAAAGTAAAAGCTTTAAAAAAATTTAGAAATTTATGGCTTCCATAGTTTTTTATATTATTTTATTTTAAAGTTTAAATTTAAATAAATGGCAAGTCGAGTAATGTACTTAAAATTAAATAAAAATAAATAGAAAAATATAATTTAAAAAACTATAAGAAAATTTATATTAAAAAATATATTATAAAGATTGAATGAAACCAATAAAGTAAAAAAGCTAAAAAAAATATAAAAAAAAAATGGGAATAAAAAATGTGATAAAAAATTAACTAAAAAGTATATTAAAGAAAATATAAAACAAACTGTAATAAATAAACTTTAATAAAGAAAATATAATGGAAAAAGTTAGAGCTTGTCCTTATTTATTTTTTAACGGACTTAAAATATTTTTGATTTATGTAACAAAAAATTCAAACTTAAAGCATTTGGCTTGATGTAATTAACTTTTCAATTATATAAACTAAAGTGTTAAAAACGATTAGCATAACTATATATATTTAGATATTTAAAATTGGCATTTAAATATATTTTATTTATTATTTATTTAAATATATATTATTTTACATTTCCTAATTAGCAGTTATTACAACGATTCATATCTAAGTATGTAGAACTTCAAAAGAATAACGTAATGTGTTTCCGTTATGCCTTCAAAAGGATATGGGCCATTGACAAAAATGGCCAAAGCTAAGTTAAGCCAACATTTTCTCATTTTCCCAACTGTTTGTGTTATTAGACCATTGAGGTCAATGCCGGGTCAGACAGACATACGGCCCGTCCACGACCACAATGGACTCTACGAGTTAGCGACTATATCCAAAAATAAACAATAATTGCAAGGAAGCGCGGAGGCAGGGAGGACGCACAAAACTAGTACACTTGTAAAACAACAAAGCATGTCCTGTTCTTTGGGCTCCTTTGTTTACACTTAGCTACAGTACACACACCCACACACACATAAAACTGGGGCTTAGTTTCTTTTTTTTTTTTGTGCTGGCAGAAAAAACTTCTCATGACCAGGTCGGGTCAGTTGCGCGGCGTGGCACAAAAGCTCATCAGCAGGAGGCAGCGATGTTTTACTTTGTATTCTTTTTTCTTCTTCTTCCTTCTCTCATTTTGTTTTTGGGTTTTTTGAGCATTTTTCTTTTATGCCTGAAGGCGAGTCGCCTCTTGAAATTTTATGCCAAAATACAGTTCAGCGATTCTGAGATTACAGAGAACTCTGAACGAATGGAGCCGAAGCTGGGCTAGCACAAAAAGCGTTGACTGTAAATAATGTTAGATAATTATTTAGTTTGTTTTTGTCTTTACGCCACTTAAATGCAACAACAACAACAAAAGCAACAACAAGATGAAGACGAAGTGCCTACAGTGAAACGAACTTGTTGTCAGTTTCTTGAAATTTTCACTTCATAAACGCCAAGCGGTGAATGTGTGTGTGCGGCTGCTTCGGCTGCGGCAGGACATTCGTTTGCGTTTATTTATTGCGCCTATTTTGCGGTTTAGCGGTTTTATGGCCAACGCGGCGTATGCGTGCTGTGTGTCCAGCCGGCCCAACTGTGTAATTAGCTGGCCCGAAGCTGACTAATTAGCTTAAGGTTGTTATTGTTGTTGCTGTGCGCCATTTTTGTTGTTGTTGCGACTAGAAACCACACGCCTTTCGCTCATTAAAACTAGCCCCACCGATTATGTGCGTGGCGCTGGCTTCGGCTCCCTCTTAAATATGGCTTTTAAATAAATTGCCTGCAGCTAGAAGGAACGAGAGAGTACTCTGGTTTCAACAGCAACAACAACAGCAGAAAAAAAGCTCAGCTAATTGAAAATCCTTTTGGAAATCGTAAAACGAGTCGAGCAGCGTGCAAACAAAAATAAACTGTCGTATATTGCGTATACGCCAGCGCGTACATACCATTCACATTTGCCTGTGTCTGCCTCACACTTGCCCACTCTCCCACTCCCTCTTTGCCTTACTCTCTCCACTTCCACTTCTTTTTCTTCCTTTCTGAACATTTTGCAAATGACCAAATCCAATTTACGCCCGCTGCAAAGTCCATTAAGTGCCAGTGCGTTAGTAGAAGCACATAGTACAGCTCAAATTGAAATCAAATGAAATCTTGGTCTAAAGTAAAAACCAAATCCAACAAAATGGCCAAATGCCGTTTAGCCTTGGCCAGCAGCAGCAGTAACAGCAGCGGCAGCTCGTTTAATCGCTCTTTTGTATAGAGTGCGTGAAATGGGTGAGTTGTGGATGTACTTATGCATTGCCTATATATATATATAAATATATATTTATATATCAAATATATGTATTGTATGTATATATTTATATATATCGAATATCTTTTGTACAATTCCATGTCCATAAAATTTGAACATTAGTTTCATTCATTTTGACTCACTTTGCAACAGTTTTAATCTTAAAATTCTCAACTGCTTACAGATAGTTTAGTTAGACAATTTATTTTATTTTTTTTAAATCATTATTATAATAAAAATGATCATAAAAAATTATAGAAACATAATTATAAAAATAAAGAATTATAGAAAAAGAAATTATAATAAAATAAATAAATTACAATAAATAAAAATTCGTATAAGAAAATATTTAGTATTTTAGAAAAAAAAACAAATTTTATTATAAAACATTATTCTGAATTTTCTTTTATTTTTATATCTTATAAATTAGTTTCACTTTCCTTTAATATTTACATAACATTTTTAAACTACACATAATATATTCATATATTTTCAAATGATTTTGGAAAATAAACTGTAGCATAAAACTATGAGCTGAATGCAAATGTCAAAGCTTTAGCTTGCCTTTAGGAAAATGTGAACAGTTTTTTTTAGGAAAGATTCTTTTGTAGACGAATCAATTTTTTCCGTGTTTTAATCTAAGCGGATTCAGATCCATTTGTGTTTGTCGATTTAAAAAAAATCCAGCTTTCTGGAGCTCAAAACGTATTGAACTTTTTTTAGCCGAAAAAAGGGCAAATCTCCAGCTGCAAAGTAGTTAGGGTATAGTAAGCTTAGCACAAAAAGCTGTGCATAAAAAATGCATTGAAAACATGCCTATCACCTGCTTGTGCGGGAAAAGGGTGGCAGGGCAAGCGACAATGCTTAAATGGCAAACAGTTAGCAAAGCGCGGCTTAGACCAGATGTTAAAAATATATTCAATTAAAATGCCAATAAAATATAGCGAAAATAAATGGAAAGTAAATTTGCGAGATTTTAAATATTTTTTCACATGTTTTTTTTTTGCGGAAATTAAAGTGTTTTTATTTTGTTTTTTCTTTTTTTTTTTAATTGTTTGTGCACTTGTTAATTAGCCTCGCTGGCATTTCCATTTGGCTAACACAACAAATTCTGCTTGTGCAGAGGGAGGGCGTTAAAAAGGAAGCAAGAAATGTGGCACTCTGCGAGAGTGCGCCTTCTAAAGCCCCAACTCCAGCCCAGCAATGCAAACATTCGTTGATTTCACTCTCTGTGTGTGGGTTATACTTTTTTCTTGCTGGGATTTAAGTGCAGCGCGTCCAACCTACTGAAAATTGCATTTACATGTAAAAACAGACAACTGAAAACACGAGAGAGAGGGAGAGGCAGCAGGAGCAGAGTTAGGTTATATAGAGGGCACTGCGGATGCGGCTTAAACCGCTTAAACTGACACACATGCATGCTGAATTGCAGCAGCTTAGCGGAAGGGGGGAGGGAGAGAGCGAGGACCCAGCTGGGCCTGTCCCGTTACAGTACTTACTCAATATGATAATCAGGCAAACGAATATGGCGCCCAAGGCGCCCATGCTAAGCTTCAGACGCTGTCCCTCCTGCACCAGTTCACAGTTCTCGCCCCAATAGCCCTCGGGGCAAATGCAGCGATATCGCAGACGTGGCTCCAAATTGATGCACGTGCCCCCGTTCAGGCAGGGCATGTCCAAGCATTCGTTGCGATCGACACAGCCCTTGGTATCCGCTGACATGATGCGTCCCTCGCTGCACCTGCAATGCCAGAGCAACAAATGGAGTCAGCGAGTGCGACTGAGAGAGCAAGTTAAGTTCTAGTGTGTCGTTTGTAAAATTCATGTTGTGCATAACTTTTTAAAAGCTCGCAACTTTTTGTTTCAGACCAAAGCAAAAAAAGAAAAAAATGTTGGTCAGTTGGCGGTGCTGTCGAATTTCCCAGCTGCCTGCGCGTCCTTTGTGTGCGCATTAAGCGTGTTAGTTCCGTTGGCCTGAGTCTAGCTGGCCGGCTAGCTCTCTACGGGATTAGTTGATAGTTTCTCGGGGTAATCGCAGTGCTTTAAAAATTTTTGGAAAATTATTTAAACATTTATTATGTTACTTAAAGGCTAAAGGCATTAGCTTTTTATTTTTTAGTAATGGCTTCCTTTTTGGCTTTGCTTCATTTTACTTTGCTGACTTAACTAAAGCTGGACTATTTGATTAAATGGTCATTTTTTTAAGTTTTCAATCATCTCCATCCACTTTTGTTCCACTTCATTTAGCTGCAAACATTTGTCGTTTCATTTTACACTTTCATTTCGATTCTTATTTGACTGCGTCATTTCACTTGTTTGTTTTCCTTTGATAATTAAATTGCTCATTCCATTGTTCATGTCACTATGGCATCCCATTTCCACTGGCTTTTCCCACTAGCTCATTTAGGTAATTCTTGACTGCGTTCATTCCATTGACATTTTCTACTTGCTCTGTCGCTCTCTTATTTCCTTTGATCCCACCTACAACTCGTTCTACTTGCTCTTTCTTCTTTTTCTTTTAACTCACTCACTGTATTGACTCCTTTTCTTTGAGTTTTTCACTACATACTTTTGACATGCTCATGTCAACTTGCTATTTTGACTTTTTCTAATTTTCTCTCTGCAGCTGCACATCTGTTTATCCCCCTTTTTCTACTTTTATTATTGCAACTGCTCTTCACATATGTTCCTCATTTCAACTGCTCTTATTCCACATGTTTCCTCATTTCTCTCACCTGCACTTGCCCATTGCATCACACTGCAGTGCCAAAGTCTTCTCCCTTGTTTCTTTCACCTGCTTATTCTACATTTTCGACTTTGCTCATTAAACCTGTGCTTATCACTTGCTTCCTTCACCTGCTCTTTTTTATTGCAACTGTTCTGCTAACTTGTTACTTCCATTCGTTATTTTTCGGTTAATATTTCCTCTATTTCACATTTCACATTTGTTCTTTTTACTTTTCTTATTTTTCGTTCATATTTCAGCTCAACATTTGCCTAACTTCTGCACTTTTCCAATTCCATCTTTGTCTTTGAACTCAATAGCATAGATTTTTACTAACTCTTAAGCTTAGTGAATTGAAAAAGCTAAAGGCAGAAATCGATTATATTTTGAAAATTTTAACAAATAGAATTTTGTTAAGCTCAGAATATAATTGTGATGTTTATAGTTAGAGTCGAGATAATGTCTGAAGTGATCAAGAGTTAAATTATATTAAAATATATGCCATATTCTATATGCTTTACCTTTTCATTAAATTTCTTAATTTTAATATAAAAATATATAATATATTAATTAATTAATATTAATATAATAATAAATTATTTCAGCTAAATCAAACTGCTAACGTTAGTGCTCTGCTCTTAACTCTCCCATTAACTATTTAATGGAGTCAAAGTCAATGACTCGATTCTAAGCTCTGTTTGTGAGGTTCATTTCTAAAATTCCCAAATAACTTTAAATAATATTTTCAAGACAATCTTCTAATGTTTCCTGTCCACTTTTGTTTAAAGCCTCTGAGCACTTGACATTAATTGAAATACTTATGAATTGCTCAGTTTTAAATACTTTTAGCTTCCTGTGCGCTTTCCCTTTTTACAATTTGGGTCAATTCAACATATTATAAAGTAAGTGTTGCAGTCGAGAGCGAGTGAGTATTTCAGCAGCTGACACGATTCCAACACGCGCTGCACAATGAAACTCGAATTGAGGCTAAAAAGCAGGCATAATTTATGGCACATCGTCGTCGTCGTCCAGCTGCGGACAGGTGTGTGCACAAGGCCTGGCTCAGTGTGGCGTTATTTAAATTTGCTTAAAGAGCGAACTCTTCAATTCGTCTTACAAATGGGCGCAAAGCAGCTTTTACCTTCACTGATATAATGGCAAAAGTAAATGGAGCACGAAGCTGTTGGCGATAGCAGCAGCAGAAGGTGTCGTTGGGAAAAATCATGATGCAATGCTGCATAGAAAGAGGGTAGAGGTAGAGCCAAGGGGCCCTGTCTGACGTCTGTTTGTTCTCAGCGCGTCTCAAATGGAGTCACTCGGCAAAACTAATGATGTGGAAAATGTGCTCGCTTCGCCGCCCGGAGTTCCTCGACTGCTGTTGGTGTTGCAAATGGCAGCTGCCACGACTGCAGTCGAAAAGGGACGCACCGAAGCCCCATCGAAAGGCGAAAGCGAATGCAAATACATATTCCAATATATATATATATATGGATATATTTTCTGCGGTGTCGTTGACTGTCATGGCATGGGGTGAAAAAGATGAAGTTGGGCGTTGCTCTGTCGGAACATGCTGATGACAATTGATATTATTTGTTGTGCGTTCGCCTTTCGATATGTTTGCCCAGCTATCAGGCAGCAGGTGTGCCTGCGTTGAAAAGTTAATGCCACAGTTAATGGAGAAATGATGTGTTTCACATGCATTACGCTCAGTTGACTTCATGCCCCTGTCTCTGTGGCTGCCTCCTGCTTAGCTGCCAGTTGAACGCCAACTTTAAATGGCTTGAAATAACTCAAAAATTTTGCTTATTTCTGTTTTCTCTCTATATAGATATTCCATTTAACCATTTTTATAGCTTTGCAACGCACTTTAATTTATCAGAAATGAGTTCAAATTAATTTCATTTGCGCTTTTTGGTCTGCCGAATGTAACTAAATGTAAAAAATATTTATTTTCATTAAATTGCAATTGCTATTTGAGCTGATGTTGCGGAAATAATTCAATTTGTATATCGTATATATTATTTTATATATATTTGACTTACTTTTTAAAGCTTTTTAGGCCTTAAATTGTATTTTATTACTTTGAAAATATTTATTTTTTAATATTTAAATTGTATTTTATTGCTTTGAAATTATTTATTTTTTAATATTTGAGGGAAAATACAAACAAACGTAAGTAAACTGGAAAGGAAATTATTTTATAATAAAAATAATAATAATAATATCTTATATTACCAAAAAAAAAAAAGAAAATAATAAAATTAAATAAATAAGTTTAAAAAAAATAATAAAATTAAATAAAAGTAAAAATTTAAATAAAATAAAAACCAAATGCATATACAATAAAAATTAAGTACAAATATAATTTAAATAAAAATAATATAATTAAAAATAAATAAAACAAACAAGACAAAAATGAAATAAATGAAAAATGAAACAAAAATAAAAATAAATAACAAAAAAAAAATAAAATAATTTAAAAATAAAATAAAATCGAATTAATTTACAATTTATAAAATTTATAAAAATGTACAAAATACAAATATTGCTATTTCAATTTATTTTCAATTTTAAATACTGAATTTCTTCATTTTATGTAGAAAATAAAATTTATAATTTAAAATAAGTTGAAATAAAGCAATTTTTGTATTCAATTCGTTTTCTTCATTTAAGCAGCTGTAGTTAAGGCAGAACACAATTGCCAGGGCACACAGCACACAGCACACGGCTAGTTTTGGCTGGCACACAAAATGTGTTTTGGAAAGGTAACCAATGAGGTGGGCAACACTTTTCGAGTGAATGTACTTACGTGCATTCGTATTCATTCCACAAATCGACACAATCAAAGGGATCCGGGCAGATAACATTGGAGCAGGGCCGATTCGAGGGACAGTTGCGCTCCACATTCCGTGCCATTGTCGCCTGGCCCCATTGGGTGCCGTTCATGGCCGGCGGCAGTGGCAGGTGTTTGCCATCCAGTCTTTTGAGTGAGTTCGTGTTCGCAACAAAAGAAATGAAAATGTGCATAATTAGCAAACAGTTGAGCTAGAACCAGCTGCAGCTGCTGTTCAGTTAGTCGTCGATTGCTACCTGATGTCGTCCAGGCAGCTTCTTTGAAAGTCCGACTGCACCTCAAACGTTTTGACGCCCGTATATTCAGCCTTGCCGCCAGCATAGACGCCCTCCTGCTTGTCAATGCTGAGCCACTGATGGCCCTGATAGTGAAAGGACTCATTGTAGCGCCGTGACTCGCCGCCGTCCAGCTCCATGATGGCAGCCGAGCCGTAGCGACTGATGCGCACCACATGCCACTGGCCATCGTTGACGGCCAATGCCGTCAGCGCCAGCAGCTGCTCCTCGTTGCGCAACGAGTTGAGATTGTAGCGGAACTGTAGCTGCCCGCGGCGCAGCTCCAGTATGGCATATTCGCGATGATGCTGATCGCTGACGCGAAACAGCTCGCCGGCCTGTTCGCGCGTGCGAAATCTCAACTGCAGCTGTGTGCTGAAGCGATCCGGCTCAAAGCTGAGCGCAAACTTCACATAGCTCTGCGGCTTGAAGGTGGTTGGCACGGTGGGCACATTGCAGCCCGGCCCCATCCAGCCGGGCTGACAGTGGCATTTCGCCTGCACCAGGCTGGCCACACAGTTGCCATGCTCCCAGCAGCGTGCCGTATGCTCGGTCTTCAGGCAAACCTCATCCGTTTGCGGGCAGGCCGGGAAGCTGTTGCGTGCCAGAGCTGGAAAGGCGAGATCGTAGTGCTCCGAATTGTGCACCACGTTGCGTATGCAGCCATCGAAACCCTTCGAGCTAAATGCATATTGCCAATTGTACAGGGTCTGATCGAAGTGCTGCCTATAGAGCCCGCCCAGCTGTAGCGGCTGATTGAGATTCAAGGTCTCCGCAAAGGGTGGTATTTGTCCGCGTGCCTGGCACGCATTGTCATCGAACTCCGGCGCCGTGCCATCCTCCAGCTCGGAGATCAGCGCGGTGCGACAAAAGTCGACAACCATGCGCACATTTTCCGCATCCCAAAAGATGTCCAAGCGATGCCAAATGCCATCGTCCAGCGTCTTTTTGGTCTTAACACGCAGCTCCAGTGTGCCAGAGCCGAAGTCAATGAGCAGCCGTGGATAGCCCTGTTCCAGTTCAATGGCTATGAAGTCACTGATTACGGTCTCGCCCTGCTTGGGCGGCACAATGGGCCCATTGTAGAGTATGAGGCCATCCGGCTCGCGCGTAATAAACTCCAGGCTCAAATGCGACTCGACGCACAGCTCCAACGGCGGATACCAGGCCCAGCCGTTGCCGCGAAAGCTGCGCGTCGACTGCTGACAGCGCGGCCCGCCATAGCCCACGGGGCAGGCCACACAACGCGGTCCATTGCGCGTCTCCACACAGCGTCCGCCATTGAAGCAGTGATGCGAACGACAATTATGATCTTGGCCAGTGAAATTTCTGGCACGGCACACGCACTGTGCACTCAACTCCAGGCGCACACCGACCAGAGCTGTGCGATTCACGCTGACCGTGTAGGGTCGCTTGCCCAGCTCAGTGCGCGAGCTGCACGAGCCGCTGGGGCACTTGCCACGACCCTCGTGCAGGCACTCATCGATGTGCACCATGGTTATGTTGAGGCCCACCTCCTGTTCGATCTCCTCGCGATGCATCTGCACCACGCCATTGAGCCGCACCGCCTTGAAGTACGGCTGCTGTGTGGCGGATCGGGCGGCGAAGTGGACATCGGTTAGCGGAAATGGCGATTGGGCGCGCAGCTGGACGCTGAATACGTCCACATTGTCGCGATCTGTGTAGAGCAGCTCGGCCAGCTTGTTGCGAAAGCGTTCCAGCTTCGATGGCTCCACCTGCTGCTTGAGCGGATTCCAGGTGCGCACAAAGTCCTCGTCGGTTATGTGAGCCAAGCGCATCGAGCCCGCCTGCTGCACTGCCTCTGCTGTAATATCACGCACTGTGACGCTCAGATTCGCTGGAATATCCTCCTGGCCATGCTCACGATCGTACACCTGCAAGAAGAGCATTGAGTGTGTTGAATTCGTTTGATATGCAATATATGAATCTGTATAGACGATAGGACAGTCTTTTTAGGATAAGCCTTAGCAAAGTGGAAGGTGAAATAAAGGCTACGGAGAGAGAGAGAGGGGCTAGAAAGGCGATGAAGAGGTGTAAAGTACGTCAAGCTTGGGTATAAAAAAAATTGTTGTTATATTTATAGGCTAAAGGAAAAAAGAAGGAAATAAAAGGTGAGAAATGGGAGATATAGAGGCGATAGATTGATGAAGATGGAAAGGCAAGACAATAAGGAAAAGACAGCTAGACGATAGAAAGGTGAAAGATAGGAGATAGAAAGGAGGAGATAGAAAGGAGGAGACAGAAAGGAGGAGATAGAAAGGAGTATAAAGTATAAAAGGACGGAAGACAAGAAGGAATGATCCTTCCTTTCTCCACTGACATATGGAATGGATCGAGAACATAATTCAAATTAAACTGGAATATATATAGTCACAATTGCCTTTCTATATCATATCTACTGCAGATACAAACGTGATGAAGTGGTCATAAATAGCTGATGTATCATATAAACGGACGTAAGAGTAGAGAGAAGGATCCTTCCTGTCTCACCAAATAAAGTTTCAAAATATGGCATGGATCGAGGACATAATCCAAATTGAAGAACTGGAATAGTATCTAATGTCTACTGCCTATCTATTGCCTTTCTATAGCCTAGCTATTGGCGCTACCACGCCCAATAAATTGGTCTGAAGTAGCTGATGTATTATATAAAAGAACAGAAGAGAAGAGGGAAGGATCCTTCCTTTCTTGTCGAATAAAGTTTTAACATATGGCATGAATAGAGGACATAATGCAAATTGAAGAACTGGAATAGCATCTCAACTAGCTAATCTATTGCCTATATTTGGCCTTTCTATCGTCTAGCTATTGTGGTCATAGGTAGCTGAAGAGGGAAGGATCCTCCCGTACTCCTCTGATAAAGTTCTCCTCTGATAAAATGGATCAAAGGCATACAAAGAGTGCAATGCAGGCAATGAAATGATAATAGATAAAATATACAAAATACTATAACAAATCACAATATTTTAATATTATTTATTTTATTTATTTAAACAAGTTAGAAGATTGTTCAGTCACCCACCTTAAAGCGCAGCTGGTAGCGGCCACGTCGTGTGCCCGCGCGCATTGTTAGTATGCCGGTGTCCGTGTCGAGCTTGAAGCGCTGATGCTCTTGGGCCTCCCAGTAGTATTTCTTGTCGGGCACATCCCAGTCGTCGGGATCGTTGACGTACACCCGGCCGATGGGTGTATCCTGCGACTGGCCTTGGTAGTTGTAGACCAGCACTGATTTGCTGCCCGGCTGCATTTTGTTGTCGTTGACGTCGCCAATGGTCACAGTCAGTGTGCTGGTGCCAGTCATTGCCGGCGCTCCGTTGTCCTTTATTTCGATGGGTATGTCATAGGATTTCTGCACCTCACGGTCAAAGGGACGCAGCGATGAGATGATGGCCACCCCGTTGCCATTGTCGCCCCCTTGATTGTGTGCGTAGATGGAAGGTTTTTTTTTGTAGGTTTCAAATGTTAGTCGATTGGTGGCCCAAGCATTCAGTTGAATTTCATTTGATGTTGGCGAAGGCATAGGCAGTAGGCACAAGATGGGAAAACGAGAAAAAGAGAAAATGTTGTGTAAGCAATGGGAAATTCAAGAATGGCTCCAAGCATTATTAAAGTCAGCAAATGGAATTTAAATGAAAGGCATTTTTCATTTCAATAAGCTGAAATATAAGAATGTTGAGTTGAGTTTCCTATGCGTTAGCGTTTTACAACTGATGACCTGATATCCTGCTGTACCATATTTGTATTATGACTATTTTAATTTAAGTTTTTTTATTATTGTTTTTCAAATTATTATCATATTTGTAAAACTAATATTTTTATTATTATTAGCCTTTTTATATTAAATATTCTTTTTTTTATAAAAATCTTTTTCAAAAAACAATTTGTTTTCTTTAATTCTTGTTACTTCAGAATTTTTATTTTAAGTTTTTCTTTTCATTTTTTCAAAACTTAGTTTATCAAAAATTTTAGTGTTGTTTTAAAATTTTCTGCTTAATTTGTATTTTCGCTTTATATTTTCTTTTATTTTAAATTTTGTAGTTGTTATATTTTGCTCTACATTTTTCAAAGTTTTTAACAAACATTCTGTGTTATAAAGTAAATTTTTGTATTTTATTTAAATTAAAATTTTTTATTAATAAAAATATGTGGCAAATTTTTTAAAAATTTGTAATATGCTTAAATGTTTTTTTGTTATTATATTTTTGTTTATTAGTTTTAGTTTTTAGCCTTTGGCCAATAAAATTCTCGTTAGTAAATCACATGCTTCAACGGCTTTGAAAATACTTTGAATGCGAATTTTTCATAATTTATTTAAAAACGTTATTTCTAGTTCAATTGTCATAAATATGCAATATTAAATGAATATTAAAGCGTTTGATTACCTTGCACTCTCAGTTGAACGGTAAAAAAATGAAAGAAATAAGAAAGTTCTAGTGGGAAGTGATCGACTAGAAAATGCCCTGAACTGAGTAAAATCTGCTTTTTTAAAGTTGTTAGTATATCATACATATTATATGTGTGATTTAAACTCACAATTGAATAGCATGTTTTTGCCCAAAAATAAAATTTATATTTAATAAAAAATGTCTGCTTTGCCAGGAGTCGAACCCTCGACTCCAAGACCACATGCAGCGCCACTTTATAAGCTGTTCGTGAAGTGGAAAATCTGAAGCTTAAGTAGCAGCAGACAATTCAAACACAATTCAATCGAAAACTTGAAATTACGTCAACAATCAACCTGATGTTGCTCAAGCTCTAATAGGCGCTGAGTTCGAAGTGTGCAAACAAAAGAACATATGTAGAGGTGGCAGACAGACTCAGCACTTCAGCTTGATCAACAGTATTTATATAATTTATGACGTCTGCCACAGCTCCATCTAACTGTTACATACATTGCAACAAAATCATTATACCCCAAATTCCAGTGTATATAAAAAAAGTAATCGAATCGAAAATAGAATTGTAAATTTATCAATTTACACATTTATTGCAATATTGATGATATTTTACTTTTGATTATCCCATTTCTATGCGGCTATAAATATGTGAGTGCGAATACAATCGATGTGAGTGAGCCAACAATAGTGCAATGCAAAATAAGCCATATTTTCGGTTTCATGTGTCCAATTAATATTCTACAAATTCGGCATAATTAATGGTATAACAAATCGAACTGAAATCGAACATATGCAAGCAATGGAAACGCATTTGCGAATTATGATGCAAAATGCATTAGCTTGATTAACAATTTATGCCCCTAATGATAGCTAACTGCTACCTGTTTTTACTCTTTTTGTTTTTTTTTTTTTTTTGCTACTAATTACACAACTCATTTAGATAATTAGCCATGCAAATTAATAAAATTTTGCAACAGACGCAACGATGCGATTTAAAGCTCTCTCCGATGGCAATGAATTTAATCGGCTTTGCGTATCAATTATTTATTCAGTCCCAAGCGCTGTGAAATCCAAGCACGCATCGACCCAGAAAAAAAAAAGCGGAGCGCCAAAAGCAACTAAATAGAATTGGGCCTCAAAGCAAAACGTGTCCGACAGGGCTCGGGCTGGAGTGCTGAAAATTGATTACACGGGGCCTAGCCACACCAGACTCCTGTGTTCGAGTGACACCTCAAATTTCGTTATTTCTTGAGTTTGTTTTGGGCTTTCTTTCTGTATTTTTGTGGGGTACACTTCATTTAGCTCTCGGTTTGTTTTCTTTGCTGTTTTTTAATGACTGCTTTTACGAACAATGGTTACGAATGGGAAGACCAATTTAAGATGCGACCAAGAGAAAGCAAATGGGTCAAAATCAAAGCCAGTTGCAAACGTTTGAGCTGCTGTGCCACACAAACTGGCCCTGAGGCTGCGACAGTGCCCAATTTTAATATCCTGTAAGCTGGCTAAGCGAAGGGGTCTATTGAAATTGAAGTTGACTTTGTTATTGATAAGTTTCTATGTTGGAATTTGATATTAGAGGTTTTTTGTTTGCTTGGAAGCCTAAGCGCCGTCCTTTAGTTCAAGGTTTGTTTACCAACAAAAAAACTTTGTTGTAAAAATTGATTTTAATCAAAAAAAAAATTTTTTTTTAATAATCAATTTTAGCATTAAATATTTTTATTAATGCAAATATTTTATACATGTTTCAAAATTTGAGATTAAATTATTTCTTTGATATAAAATTCATATTGAAATGAAAGAATTAAAGTTCTTGAGCTCGTTTATAATTGCAACTGATGTTGGCTCTTTATGTAGTAAGCCTGTTAAACATTGCGTTTTTGATCAGCTTTAACTTAATATTTTTATTGCCAATTTTAGTAGTTTTCAGCCTAAACTGACATACAACATTTTCTCCTAAGTATTGCATTGCTTTTTATTTTTAGATTGAGCTGAAAATTGCAGCTCGCTGAGAAATTGTAGTTGACTCGTGAAAAAATAATGCCAACGCTCACGTATCTACTCATACTATAGAGTTTTTGAGCAGTATAAAATTAGAATTTGTGGCTCATTCACTTTATAGCTCTTATTAGCTAACTAATAATTTTTTAATAATTCTTGTTACTCAACATCAACTATAAATGGCGAGGTCAACGCTTAAAGCAGCTGTTGCAGTCTTTAAACAAGTCGCTTTGAGTGTCAAAAGTGCTTGAAAAAAGTTTGAAACGAATGCAAATTGTTGTTGACTGCCAAATAGAATATTTTGAAAGATAATGAAACCACAATCTTATTATAATTTTAAATATTTCATTACAAGGCAACCATTTCCTTTGCATGCTTTTAATGCATTTAAATCTATATGAATTAAAGCCATAAACGAATATTTAGATTTTATTCTAAACTTTGAATTATTTGAAATATTTTTTATGAATATTATATGAATATTATTATATTTATTTCTTTATATATATAAATATATATATACAAATATATTTAGTTTTTTATATATGGTTTGGCCTTAAATAAATTTTTGATTGAATTAATTCTTCCACGGTATAATAAATATATTTTAATTAGAAACATCTTTTTTTTTGCCTGCTCAACAACACTGTAATCAACTTTCAAGTCCTTGCACTTTTATCAAGTATTCCCTTTTATAAGCTTGCATCAGTTTAAAAAGGGTTCTCTTTTCTATATTTCGTTGCCTAAGCACCTTCCACTACTGTTTACAGGGTAACACATCTATTGCATTCTAACATGTTTGTTTGTTTGTTTGTTGTCTTTTTTCTTGTTTTATTTTTGTGGCTCTTTGGGTAACTAACTCAGTGCACAAACAATGCTGATGATGCTGATTGACTGTGGCATAATTCAATCACCATTACTATGCAAACACACTTTGGTTTTAGCGTTTGATTTTGATTGTGAATGCGAACTAAGCTCAACTCGTCTGAGAACTCTACGCAACTGAGCGAATTTCTAGTGCTGTCAGTTGCCAATTCGTTTACTTTTTTTTTTTTTTGGGCAGAGTTTTTGCTGTTGCACTTGTATATATTAGTTGCAAGCCTGATTCGAGTCGAGTTGAGTCGAGGGCCTGCAGCGCAAAAGCCTGTGCAAAGAATTGGTATTGATTATAAAGGCAAATTGACTTGTGGCTAAACAAGAATTTCAATAGGGCGTTGCGTACTGAAAGTTTCGGCTACAATTCGAAGCAGTTGCAGAAGCTGAATTTCAATTTTGCTATATTAAAGTTGAATAAACTTGAGCTTGATTTTGAGCTGAGTTTAACTGGTAGTTAATAAAGACAGCTGAGCTGTTTATGTGCTATGTGAAGTGTTAAATAAGATTAAGATTGAATAAGATTTAAATTGAATTGAATTTGATTGTTAGAGTTGATTGAGAGTTGAGGCTCTTTGTTGAGCTTTGATATATAATGTCTTGATATATTCTATGAATTTATATTAAATATAATTTTAGCTGATACTTAAGCAGCTTAGTTAGAATATAAGTTATATGTTATGATTAAACGATTCTATCTCGTGATATCTGATCTACTTTTCTTATGAGTCAGACACTGAATAAATAAGAGACTGCAGGCGACTGGTCAGCAATCTGTAGCCACTGCTGGCTCTGTCAATGGCCCCAGGCCAGTTAACTGAGTGCTAAGAACAGTTCTTATATGAAGCTCAATCAGTCAAGTTGAATCAGAATTTATTTACTTATACAACTATAGACTTAATATGTTAATATAGTAAAATAAGGTCATTCCATATGCGAATGTTTCGTACTCCTAATCTGATGCTGACTCCTAATCTGATCTGCTCGACTTCTTATCGAGTTAACATTTGAACTTAAACATCTCATCATAAATCTAAGCTCAAATGATTTGAATGAAAGCATTACTTTCACATCCTTCTCTACTTTACTTCCTTTCCTTTCCTACTTCTTCCTTTTAACCTCACACACTACGCAAAGGAAACTCAATCAATTCAATAATAAATATTCCCAAAATTCAATTCACACTTACTGCGATCATATTCCACCTTAAAGCCCGCGCGTATCTCATCGCTGGCCAGTGGATCAAGGCGAAAGCTGAATGGTCCGCCGTTGCCACGCTGACGATCGTCCATGTCCTTGGCGGCCACCTCGAGGATTTTGCGCGGCGACACGTTCTCCGGCAGCGTTGGCTTGTAGTCCTGAGCCAGCGTTGGCGCATTGTCGTTCACATCCTTGACCACGACGGTCAGCGTGGCTGTGGCTGTGCGCGACGGATTGCCATCATCGCTGGCCAAGACCTGAATATGATGGCGATCGGCCGACTCCCGGTCGAGCGGTCGCTGTATGCTGATGGCGCCTTTGTCGCTGATTGCGAATTGCCTGCGCCGATTGCTGGCGCGCACAATTTTATAGTTGACGCGCGAATGTCCGCCCTGGTCTGCATCGCTGGCACGAAACTGCTCCAGCACGGTGCCCACTTTGGTGTCCTCGTAGATGGAGACCTCGATGTGATCACGCTCAAAGCGTGGCACATTGTCGTTGATGTCGCGCAGCTTGACCACCACCCATGAATAGGCCACATGATATTTGTCAGCACCATCCTCGCCCTTGTCGTTCACCTGTATGCGAAAGCGGAAGCCGCTGCTTTGCAACGGATCCTCATAGTCCAGCGGCTGTATAATCTTCAGTGAGCCAGTGCCATCCGCATTGCGGACCATGGCAAATTTGTCCGCACCGAAGCCACTATTGGGAACGACCTTATACTGAAAGCTATTCGTCTCGTCCTCATCCTGCACGGTGACTGTCAAAATGGGCGTTTCGGGTATGTAGGTGCCGTTCGTTTCGTCCACCTCCGTGAACCATTCATCTTTGGTAAACTGCGGCGGCATATCGTTCAGGTCCTTGACACGTATGGAAGCGGTGCCAGTGCCTGTGTGACGAGAGTGGTTGCATAGAGGTTAGATGACTGTCTAATGCTCTGCATTGATATATTTAGCGGCGTTTAATAAGAAAATTATTTAATGATGGAAAAGTGCATTTTAACAAATATTATAGTGTGACACAGTAAGAGTGTTACTATTTCTGATTAACTTCATTTTAGCAACAGTTTAAGTTAACGAATGTTTTTAATTTTGAAAATATTAAATGAGCTTTGCCATTTGGTAATTAATAATTTTATGCTTGCTTTAAGTGTGAAAATAATTAAATTTGTTTTAGTTGCTGGAATTGTCATGAACTCGTTTAGCTGCATGGCTTGCGTGTGTAGGCAATACTTCACTCAGTTGAGCTTTTTTGTCTTAGAGCAATATACATTTGGAAATGTGCAAGGTGAAAAAAATATAGCCGCCTTAGTATTCAATATTGTGGCTTGAAAATATCGACTTGGCCAATCGGGCATAGGCAGAAGGTCAACAAATTGAAGCGAGCTAAGCTAAATGGAATCTTATATTTAAAGCATTGCTGGCAAAGACAAGGCAGCTATTGAAATGATTTAAAATTCTATTCGTAATGGCATATATGTAGCTTTAAAATGAAAGAAGTATCAATGTAATATCTTAAACTGCTTTGATTATATTAGAATTTCTTTTGCTATAACTCTAGTTGGGTCATCTAGCCACAATCGTATAAATTCGTAATTATATTTTATATATTTCATATTATATATTATATATTATATATTATATATTATATATTATATATTATATATTATATATTATATATTATATATTATATATTATATATTATATATTATATATTATTTATTATATTTTATATATTAAATAATATCTACAAGAAATTGAAAGAAATTGTTGTATATATTAAATTTATATATATAGTGCATAAAATATTACTAGTAAATAATATTTAAATCTTGATAATATATAAATTTTTATATTAATTAATTCCCAAATAGATGAGCTACCAAATTAATGGATTAAGATGCCAAGGGCTTCACATGACATTAAATAAGTGGAAGAAGAAGAGAAAGTATTATTTAATTGAAGTACTTTCATATTGATGCAACAATATTGCACGATAAAATGATGTAAATAAATCAATTTATTAGTAAATTTCCTGTTTAAACAATGACTCGACTTGACTGGCAGCTCGAAATATTTCCTTAAGCCAATATGCCCAGCAAGACTTCACACACCGTGCATAATGAGTGTTGTATGGCAATGGCATGCTCAGCATTTGGTACTCACCCTTCAGGCCGCCACCGTCCATGGCCACCACCTGGATGGAGTAGTCCGGGGTGCGTTCACGGTCGAGACAGCAGACGGCCGTTTTGATGAGGCCCGTTTCGGGCTCAATTTCGAATATGGGCGCGCCAGTTTCCTCTTCGATGACGTTCTTCTCAATTGAGTAGATTAGCTTGGCATTGGTGCTCTCGTTGGGATCGTCATAGTCAATGGCAGACATTGTCATCACGGGGCTGCCGGCGGTGCCGTTCTCGGTGACATTGCCAAAGTAGACGCCCTGCGGAAACTGCGGCGCATTGTCATTGATGTCCTTTAGATTAACTTGAATGTCCGCATAGCCGACCAGGCCCTCGCCGCCCTCGTCCTGGGCAAATACGGTGAAGCGCCATTGCGGCCGCCCATTGGGCTGATCCCGGTCCAGGGGCTGTGTCAAATAGAGAGAGATGAAGCAAATAAAGTGAGCCCGACTGACTATCCGTTTGATTTGCCAGCTGTTTGGCTTGTTTGTTTGCAAATTATTTTATGCCAACGGCAGGAAGCTGCAACTGAGACAAAACACAGCCAGCAGGACTTATAGCTGACAAGTCTCATTGTCAGCTACAGGTCCTCGAAACTACTGCTGACTCAAGCAACGTCCGTCCGTCCAGCTGTCCTCTGCATGTATTTGTATTTGTATTTGCCTATGTCTATGTATGTGCAGTTCTTTGTGGTTGTCTTTAGCCCAGGCTCAATGTATTTGCCCAGGCTCATATTAGATTTCTCTCATTAAATGAGTTATCTCCATGAAATCGTCGTCTGCTCTGGCGAGCGGGCTAAATAAATGCCATCAAATCAAATGAAATGTGTTCAATCTCAATAGAAACTGTGTCAGCTTTTGCTGTTGCTTCTACTACGAATCCCATTTAAATTATTCTTAAATATTGCTTACTCGGCTCATTTGGAATTTGGCTTGCGCTCAGGTGGATTAGGCTTCGTTTCAATTACAATTTTGCTTCAGATTGCGCATTGTGAATTGGAATGCAAATTAAAATCGACTTTGTATTTGCCACGCTCAATGGCTGTTATAATTTTTCAATCAGCCTGTTTAAAGCTCAACTTAATCTGTTGCTGCAGAGTTATAGAATTATGGGGCAGTTCAGTTTTAGTTTAGCCCGAGGCTGACCTAGAAATACTAGCTCTACTGTGTGAAAAATTAGATAGCAAATATGGCGGAGAAATGGGTTTTATGTCTGCAAAAGCTAACACAGCTGATATACAATTGAAGATATACGCATTTGGTATAGAACTAAGTTTGAGCGATGCTTAAAGGCTACTTCCAACTTGCAACTCAATTCTTCATGAATGTCTCAGTGTCCTTTCATAAGTCAGTTTCTTCTTTAATTTACTAAAGTTTTAAGCTTTTTAATTTAGAAATATTGCAGCTGCTTGACTAGCGTCTCTAAACTCTATCAATTTAAAGTCGGACTCTATCAACATATGAGCTCTGGCTCTCACGACTTAAAACTTGTGATTTAAACATTTGCGACAAAAAAAGTGAAGGCAAAAGTAAATCGCATTTCAAGACATTATGTCTTAGGTGCATTATTGAACCCAGATAAATGCCATCACGAGTCAAGCACTTTCTTAAGCGTGACTCGTACAGCTTCACTGCACGAGATCTGCTTAGAGACTGATTCTGCAATGCCACGATCTCAATTGATGTTGTCTCTAGCAGCACACATACATATGCATCTTCTAAGCGGCAATTGCCGATCATCATTGTTGCTCTGAGAACTGAGAACTGTGAGAAGTTCGTAGCAACGTTAGGCACAGAGGCATAGAACGGCATGGAATATGGAAGCCAACCTTCTGGCGCCTTTCCCTGCTTCTGTCTCTTTCTCGCTCACCCTCTCTCTTGATGATTTTTGTTAACTAGAATTCTCACCAGCTGTAAATGTGTCCGAATGTCCTCATAGAAGTTGATACTACAAATATTATATATTTGGCGGGAATTCGGTTGATTCTGAGACAGCCCCAAACGTCATTTCAGACTCTTTTTGATTCTCTTTAATTGTGTTGTCTCTGAGCTATTCAGATGTCAACTGAGCCTTGTCTCTGGCACAACTTCTCTGTTCCATTTACGAGTCTCTCGTTCCAGCCTAGTTCCCTGCACGAACTTCACAACAGCTTGAAGATTGCCTCATGTAATTGTAATTAGCTCATTCTCTTGACTCTCCACTTTATTTCATTCTTCATACATATATATTTTTGTCAGATGTTATTCTGTCTACCTAAGGCATATGCCTTGAAAGTATAATAAAAAGCAGATACTCTTAGAACCTGAAAGAAAGCAACACTGAGGATAGGCAATAAAACTCAATTAGAGGCAGCATCAACTATGCTTTCTTTGCTGAGTTAGCTGACTGCATGTGCCTTTTAAATATTTCCATTTTATTTCATGCTTTTAGCATATGAAATTTGCCTCTGCGAGTTTCGAGTTGCCAGCTAGGGGCCATGGCAAAAAAAGGGCTGTAAGCCAATCGTTCAAATAAATTGACATATTTAAGTTTCAATAGCACTTTGGGCATCAAATCAAAATTGTGAATGGCTGGAAATTTAAATTCTTTGCAAATGGCATTCGCTCAATTAAAGCTGGCAAAGTGACGCTCACACACATTTGGCAACGCGTATCGGTGGCATGTGACACGCATGGCAATAGCAATTACAAATTAAATACCGCGTTGCAGCTGTCGAATGGTCGACGCTAAACTTCAGCCAGCCGAAGCCGCCAGCCAGCACAATTTAAGCAGAATTTTATGCGCGGCAACCACGCACCAATAACGAACGACGAATGTCATTTACATGTGGTTGCTTGTAGAGCGTCAAAACCACAAATGCCACATGCTGTCGCTGGCAACCAGTGCTCCGCAAAAACCCTTTTGGCTGCCACACCAACAACGGCCCACACAGCCTGAGCAGCAGCTCCTAAAACAATAAAACAAATAAAGCATGCCGCCAGCAACAGCAACAGCAATAGCAACAGCAGCAACATTTGAACATTTGATTCAGTAAATGGGCGAGTTGGGCGTGGCATTGGTTGTTGGCACTGCCATTTGACTGGTTTGTTTTTATGGACTTTGTCTGAAATTAATTGGAGTTCATGTAGTTGGCATCAAACGCTTGCAGTTTTTATGCTCACAAATGTCACTCTGTTTTGCTTTTTTGTTTTTTGGCCATCTGTATGCATGTGTGTGTGTGCGTGTGAGAGAGATTGTGCGGTTTGACACAGTTTTAAATTAATCATACGCCACCGAGCCGCACCACTGTGAAAGCTTTACAATCCACTGGCGACTGTTGTTAACAAATAAAATCGCGCAACAATTTTAAGTATTTTCGAGCAACGAAAATTTATATTTATTTAATGTGTGAGTGTGCGCGTGTGGTGTACGCGCGTGTGTCCATGAATATATTTAAGAGCTGCATCAGCTGTCAAACTTTGTAGTGTGTTTACCCAGTCTGCCTGAATCATTTATTTTTCACAAGTGTTTACAACGAGTTGTTCGCACTGCAGTTCAATTTTATAATTTACAATGTGCAAAAGAGTCTGGTTGTTAGCCACTTGTATGACATTGGCAGTGGCTGCTTTACAAGCACAAAATATTGTGCAAAAGTTGAAAAATTGAAAAAGTTTTTTTTTTTCATTTTTCAGAACATTTTGAGTTGACTTCAGATATCTAATTTGAAAACCAATAAAATTTATTCAAAATGAAAATGTTTTTAGTGCTGTGAATGCAGCATAGGCTCAAATCATAGGATAAATATGAATGAGTTAAAGAAATCAGCGTGATATTTAGGGTAACTTCTAGTCGAGCAATAAAAATTCATTTTTTATATAAAATTTTATTGCTAATGAAAATTTTTAAAAAATTTTACATTTCAAATGAAAATGATTTACACTTGCCATAAGCTTGTGCTTAAAATTTTTGTATGTATTATATATTAAATATTATTGTTTATATATATAAATTTTATGTGTTTTTTAATAAGAAATTAGTAAGGGTGCTATAGGCAGTATATAAAAGATAACCTGAACTCCATCTATGCCTCTTCTATACAAATAAGCGAAACAAGATATGCAAATACATTACTTTAAAACCCAAATCGATAATTTATCGATTTTCATTGATTATTATCAAGGAAGGAAGTTATCGAAAAAGATAATAAGCTCATACTTCGCATAAGTATATAAATATATAAATATATAAATATATATATATATGTAAATATATAAATATATAAATATATAAATATATAAATATATAAATATATAAATATATAAATATATAAATATATAAAGATATAAAGATATAAATATATAAATATATAAATATATAAATATATAAATATATAAATATATAAATATATAAATATATAAATATATAAATATATAAATATATAAATACATAAATATATAAATATATAAATTTGTAAATATATAAATATATAAATTAACTTGAATATAGATTTTAATTTTTTTTAATCTTCAGATTTTATGCATCGCTCCGTTCTTATGGGTAAACTGACAATGAGGGCAAGATTAAGTCAGCTCATTCTCCTGATCAGCAATATATATTTATGTATATATAAATAATGGTGGTTGCAGTTCCGACTTTTGCATGTTGAATACATTTTTCTAAAACCGACAGAATTCAGTGTATAAAAATTAAAAATCAAAAATTCAACAAGATTTTAAACGCATTTCTTGGCAATTTGTGTTAGAATAAAAAATATGTATTTTGTATTTAAAAATCGAAAACTGATGCCTGATTAGCTATTTCCATTAATTTCTGTATATTTGCTATTATTAAGCAATTAGAATTATTAAAAATAGAATTAATGAATATAGTTAATTTTTAAGAATCCCGAATATTCTCCATCTATATCTATATTATCTAAGGTATTCAAGTCAGTCATAAAATTTTGCTTAGCCATTGACTTTGTTGATCTACAGTCATCTTAGTGTATTCAATTACTATAGAGAACTATTTGCCATTTGAGCTATAAAATATATTGTTTTTCCCTATTTTTCTGTCCACATTTTCATTGCAATTTTTAACCCTTTCGCTATTTCAACTTTATAACTATTTATTTACAATATGTAAATATTTTATATGTATATATATTTTTTTTAATTTGCCAATAGGCCATTAAGTAAATTTTTAAAATTTCAATTCTTTTCTGCTCTGCTTTTTTTTACAGTGTATTCCATCACGCTTAACTGCTGCCTTTCAGTGTTTTTGTTCTTGTATATTTTTAACTGTTAGCTCGTCACACACAATATAAACTGCGCATTGTGTATATAAACTGTTGGCCCAATTGTAAACTGCCAACAGCTGTCCTCGAGCGCCCCACGCCCCCTTCAAGTCGCCCCTCAATCATAGTCGCTGCAGGTGGAAAAAACAAAAGTTATGGCGCGCCATTTGCACGCTTAGCCCAGCGGGTGGGAGTAGCTGAGGTGGTGACGAACAAAGAGAGAGAGAGGAAGAGTGGCCTGGTAGCTTGGGTTTTTGAGGTGAGGGAATTTAATGGGCGTTCATTACGGCTGGGTTGGGCTGGGCTGGGCTTTATGGTGTCGTTGGTAACTGGGTAAAAATCAGCTTAAGCTTTGTGAGTGCCACTTACCTTGAGTACAAAAATATCGCCAGTTGTGCGATTTATATCAAATTTACTATTTGCTGTATTATCCGGGTCGATGCCCTGGCCGGTAAGGAAATATACAATATTTATTGGTCTATCTACATCGCCATCGGTAGCCGTAACCTGTGAAAGAGTGGATAGTGGGTGAGTGAGGGGTATAAAAACTGCATTACAATGAGTTCTCATTGTTGTTGTTGTTGTTGGTGGTGGTGGAGGTTGACTGTTAAGCCGTTTGTGGTCCATTCCTGGACCTTACTTACAATATTCAGTCTATAAATCAAATATGCAAATGTGCAAAAAACCTTTAAATGTCCAATAAAGAACAAAGGCAAAGGCAAAAACCCGCGCGCGCATTGGGCTAAAATCTTTCAAATAGGGGAGCTGCCTGGCTGCCTGGCTGCCTGTTTGCCTGACTTTTTGTATGCCAGATTGCTTGTAAATTTATGCTTCGATTTTGTATTACATTTTATTTTGTATTTTATATTGCAGTGCAGTGCAGCTGTCTGTGAAAAATGCTAATATGACCGAGATTTATGTAATTATTCAATCGGCTTGCGCAATTTTTGTTGATTTTCTATTTACAATTTTCCCTTCAATTCTTGAATTCGTTGCCTTTCCTTTCCTTTTTTATTTGTTACGTTTACTAAATAAAATCTGTACTTAGGTCCATTTCGTTGTTGTGCGGCTGGAATATTTTATGGCGCATTATCATTCTTATTAATGTGGAAACTACATGCTAGCAAATTGTTGGGTACTTTTTAGTCAGTTATTACTCAGATAAGCATCCACAGGCTGTTAGCCCAAATGACTTACAAGACTTTCAATGAATGGCTCTGAATGCTTAAGCAGCAGATTAAAGGCGCTTTGATGGCAGCTTTAAGTGCCACTTAGGGGCTGGAAAGGTAAGCTCAAAGGAAAGTAAAATCAAGCGAAACACAGATAGAGATAAAGCTCCTGTCTGTCGTCTGTAGTCTGTAGTCTGTAGTCTGTAGTCTGTAGTCTGTAGTCTGTAGTCTGTAGTCTGTAGTCTGTAGTCTGTAGTCTGTAGTCTGTAGTCTGTAGTCTGTAGTCTGTAGTCTGTAGTCTGTAGTCTGTAGTCTGTAGTCTGTAGTCTGTAGTCTGTAGTCTGTAGTCTGTAGTCTGTAGTCTGTAGTCTGTAGTCTGTAGTCTGTAGTCTGTAGTCTGTAGTCTGTAGTCTGTAGTCTGTAGTCTGTAGTCTGTAGTCTGTAGTCTGTAGTCTGTAGTCTGTAGTCTGTAGTCAGCTACCATCAAAGTAGCTACTCTAGCAAGAAATTCATTCAATTAGGCCAAGTCTTTGTTATTTATTTTGCTACTGCAGCCATGGGAATTCCAGCCTCGACCACAATTCTGTTGAAGCAGAAGCCATTTATCAAGCACTTTTCAAGCCAATTAGAGCAATTATCGGACAGCTGTTAGCAATGTGACAACTTTTGTGGCTATCGCACCTAACCAATGTAAGAGGAAACGCATTGAGGCCAAACAATGGCTCAATATTTAAATATCTCCACTCATGTTAGTGTTGGTGGGGGCACTCAAAGGCAGCTGCCACGTGTTAAGTGCCAACAAAACGCTGGCAGCCACGCCCATTGCTTGCCTGGCAGCCCGCCCACAATTTGCCGGCTGACAATGCGACAATTTACGTTAAATGTTCCGCACAATTTGATATGACAAAAGAGTTGTCTACGTGCCATTATTATTGGCCGCGTGACGCGATGTGAGCTCTGCATGCCATTGTCCTTTCAACAAGACTCACACACACCCACACACACACAGGCGCAAAGAAAGAGCGCGTGTGCTGTATGCCCACCATTGGCATGCATAATTTAAAGTCCCTTGTCTCCCCTGGCTGGTTGGGTTTTGGGGCAGGAGCAGGGGGCGTGGCAAATGACTCGCGTGCAAAAGTAAAAAGAAATATTTGCATTTCATTTTGTGCCACCCACAAAAATCAATTTGGCCAAAAGGTGTCGCAGACAGCAGCCAACGCCTTTTACATATATACATGTTTTATATATATTTATATATATATATATTTATATACAGGGCATATACATTCGATTATGTCTGGTCGGCCCATCTACTTGGCGCCACTACAATTTTTACTTGAGCATAAATATGTAATTAAAAATGCGTGTGGCCATTGTTGCTGCTGCTGTTGTTGTTGCTGTTGCTATTGTTGTTGTTGTTGTTGGTATTGTCACCATTGCAGCCAGCGCTGGGCCGTGTCATTTAAATTTATATTTTACAAGCAAGAACATTTATCGGAGCAGCAGGATGTCGCCACATTTGGATACCCTTTTCAAGCATATTTGGGTCAACATGAAGCTGTACGAATAATTTGTATTTCATACATAATTAATAAGACATTAGCTAGCGCTTGTGTATATTAAGCTCTTGCTGAACTTTCTGTATGTATCTTACTATAAATAGTTTTGAATTCATAATATATTCATAGCGTTTAAATATGTATAATTTATTATTTTTATTTTATTATTTATTTAAATTAAGTTCATTATTATTATATGGTTTCAAAATCTATAGATAAATATGAATTAATACTAATAGTATAAGTCAAAGTTGTAGGTGCAGTGGAAGTAGTTGTATTAGGAGTAGAAATAGCTGAAGTAGTAGCAGTTATAGTAGTAATTGTAGTAGTAGTAGTAGTAGAAGTATTTGTAGTAGTAGTAGTAGTAGTAGTAGTAGTAGTAGTAGTAGTAGTAGTAGTAGAGTAGTAGTATTAGTAGTAGTAGTAGTAGTGGTAGTAATAGTAGTAGTAGTAGTAGTAGTGGTAGTAGTAGTAGTAGTAGTAGTAGTAGTAGAGTAGTAGTATTAGTAGTAGTAGTAGTAGTGGTAGTAATAGTAGTAGTAGTAGTAGTAGTGGTAGTAGTAGTAGTAGTAGTAGTTATATTAGTAGTTATAGCAGTAGTAGTAGTAGTAGTGGTAGTAATAGTAGTAGTAGTAGTAGTAGTGGTAGTAGTAGTAGTAGTAGTAGTTATATTAGTAGTTATAGCAGTAGTAGTATTTATAGTGGTAGTAGTAGTAGTAGTAGTAGTAGTAGTAGTTATATTAGTAGTTATAGCAGTAGTAGTATTTATAGTAGTAGTAGTAAAAATAGTAGTAGTTATTACTACTACAATAATAGTAGTAGTAGTAGTAGTAGTAGTAGTAGTAAAAATAGTAATAGATATAGTAGTAGTAGTAGTTATAGCAGTAGTAGTAATAGTAGTAGTAGTAGTAAAAATAGTAGTAGTTATTACTACTACAATAATAGTAGTAGTAGTAGTAGTAGTAGTAGTAGTAAAAATAGTAATAGATATAGTAGTAGTAGTAGTTATAGCAGTAGTAGTAATAGTAGTAGTAGTAGTAAAAATAGTAGTAGATATAGTAGTAGTAGTAGTAGTAATTGTAGTAGTATTTTAAGTGGAAAGTAGTAGCATTGGTAGTAGAAATTGTAATATTAGTAGTAGTTGCTTCAGTAGTAGTTGTATTTATGGTAGTAGAAGTGGTAGTAATAATAGTAAAAAAAAAAAAAACAAAAAACATTTAATAAGCCTAAAGAATATCTTCATTTCCCTTCTTATTCTTGCTTTGCCAAGCAAAATACCGAAAAATCTTTTCAAACTGTATAAAAAAAATAAAAGGCGTAGTAAAATAAAAGCTTTGACCTGTCATGTTTAATGTGAAACTTGCTGAGTCAGAAGAAAAATGTAAATGGAATTTGCGAGGGAGTGGAGCAGGTGGCAAAACAATTATGTATGCCTCATTTTTCCATAATTATAACGGTTGTTTAATACATTATATTTTATTATTTTAATATTTTTCTTGTAATCAGAGTTTTTAGTTTTAATATATTCACTATTAGCCTTATTGGGATTTGTTTGAAATTATATGAAGCAAATATTATCAAAGAATTTTTTATTAGTTTTAATTTTTTTTTATATTTTATTTGTAATATATATGTATTATATATATTAATATAAATAATACATAAAATTTGGAATTTTATCCCAACTGCAAATAACCTTTTTTCATTTGCAAGTTACAGTTTTAAAGACAAAGTCGAATTACATAAAAATAGAGCATTTAACCCTCTGCGAAGCGTAAAGATTTTAATTTCTCTCATTCTTTCGCTCATTCATGTTGTTGATTGTTGTAAATTATGGCTTAAATAAAAGTCGCTGCCACAGACTCAGGCACTTCTCACACACGCGCACACAGCTTCTCACATATACATATGTATATTGGATAAATACATGCACGCATGTATGTATGTATGTATATTTGATGCAAGGCCATTGGGCAACTATCACGTTATTATTAATGAATGAGTATTTATTTTGTATTTACGGCCGAATTGTGCGGCTTGCTGAATCGCCATGGCACTTTATATTCCAGCAGCGAGCAGTGGTGGCCAGATCTGTGGCTGGAACTGGCTGGTCCCAGGGCCCCGGGTCCAGGGCCCAGCTCTTAGTGCTGTTCTGGGCTGCTTGTTGTTTTCTGCTGCTGTAGTTTTTCGAGCATTCGATTTTTATGCAAATTGCATGTATTGTATGCCTGGCCGTTGTTGTTTCTGTTGTCAATATTTAAATTGCGGAAAAGCAAGCGGGCCGATAATAAATGTGGAATGGGAAAATAATGATAGGCGCCTTAACGCCCATAAGTAGCTGTTGCAGCAATTGCGAAAAATATTGTTTAAGGCCCAAAGGAGGGCATAAGGATTTATAGCTCGAATGCAACAGAGCAGATTTACACACAGGTTACCTTTTATGATTTAAATGCAACGAGCAAAAAGAATTAAGTGAAATATTATACCAACCAATGCGTACAAAAGTAGGCAACGGTTTTTTTTGTAAATGTGAACTGCTTGTGCTACTTGAACTGCTTGATTTATGTGCTGGTCGTAGGGCTAAGCTAAGTCTGTTTTGTCGTACGGATATTAAATTTATATATATTAAATATATTTTTATTTATAGGCAAACTATCTGTGAGACACAGTTGTTTTCTCAGCAATAAAATGCGGACAAGAAAACAAAGTAAAATATAATACAAAATGCGCAGATAAGTAGGCAATAGTTATTGTTTAAGGAATGAACTGCTTGATTTATATGCTAAGCCAAGTGTTAAGAGTAGGAACAATATAAGGTTTGTTTTAGTTTGATTTGTTTATATAAAGAATACATATATTTATACAAATAATATGTATATATATCAGCCATCTATCGTTGAGTTTTACACATATACAAATGTCGTTCAATTTCTTGACACTCACCTGTAAAATGCGTTTGGGCAAATTGCGATCATCTTCTTCAGTGATTTGTGTGCGATATGTTTGACGATCGAAAACAGGTGGATTATCGTTAACATCGCGTACATTGATGACAACGGTGGTATAGTTGTTTTTACGATTGCGTGTTGCCTCCAAGCGCAGCTCATACTACAAATGAAGAAAACAACATTTTTTTAGACTTCGAACACGTAAAAAAGCCTCATTTCAACTCGATATTTGCAAAGTTTTTCCGCATGACAAATGCCAAAAAAAGAAAATATAATGCAAAACAAAAGAAAAGCATTGTCAAACTTGGCGCAAACAACAAAAAAAGAAAGCATAAACAAGAGCGTGGGCAACACATGTTTTGCGGCATTGTTGGCGCCTCAGCCGCTTGTTGCATGACAACGCATTGACAGCTACACGGATTCCCAATGTAGTGGCTGTTGAGGGGTGGCGGTAGCGTGTGTGGTGGCTGCTACATATAAATATTTGTGTGCGTGCAATCACGTTAAAAATTCGCTCTGGGAAATGTGCCAACAGCTGTAGATATACAACTCGAGATAAGACGAGACGAGACGAGCAGAGTCGATAGTTGAGTTGAGTTGAATTCGTGTTGCTTTTTGCTGTAATTTTGGCATAGACACACACAGACACACGCACACGCACACATACGTGCCTGTGTGTGTATTTGCAAGTGCGCATATTTTTTTGATTAATTTTTTTTTCTGCGTCAGAGCACAGCCAGAACGTCGCAAAAGTTGTTCGCCTGAAAGTTTTGCATATTCCTTTCTTTCTTTCGTTTTTTTTTTTTTTTATTTTTGTCTCACAACAAAAAATAAATAAATTATGCATGCACAACCAAAAGTTGAGCATAAACAAAAAATAGCATAAAACGTGCATGCAGCATGAGTTGAAGATGAGAACAAAAAAAGTACAAAATGTTTTCCACACGGAAGCAGCAACAGTTCGAAGTTAAGGCTAGACTCATGAACGAGCGCTGTCAGCGCTGAGCGTGTGATGAGGGTCGTGTGATTCGAGATTCTTGCCAGACACTAACTACTTACCCTTGGCCGCGTTTCATAGTCTAGCGGACTGGCCACGTAGATGACACCCGTCGTATTCTGTACGGCAAAGGCATTGCCTATGTTACCGCCTGTGATTTGGTATCGAATATTCGTCGCTGCAAAGAGAAAGGGTTTTTTTTGTTAGTATTATTTTTGAAGTAAATATTCCTTTATAGATTGTCAATTACACTTAATGGATTATTTTTTGCCATTAAAACAGATTTCGGCACGTCGCACGTGGCGTATGCGTAATGTGTAGAGAGGCAGTGCATTGCTGCTGGCATGTGCATAATTAAAGCAACATGGGGGGTCCTCGCTTCTTTTATGTTCACAGAGAATTTAATTTATTTCGTGTGTGTGAGTATCTGCTGAAGAGCTGTGGCTGTGGCGTATTGCTCAACTTAATGAAGATGTCAAAGAGGTTAAATGAATTGAATTACACACACTCGCACACACATAAGAACACACACAAATACACACATCGATATTTACTATATTCATCTTGTTATTCAAGCCATGACTTTTTGGCCTGTTGTAATTCTATAATAAATATTTTTGAAAATTCAAGCTCAACTTGATTGAGAAAGACAAGATAAATAGTGAAGCATATTTCGATTTTCCTTTTCCTCAAGCCATGTAAACAAAATTAACTTCAAAATTCAAACAAGCTGAAACAAAATTTTAGCTTTCTTTCAGCACAAACGCTCGAGTCAAGGGATCAAAGTTAGCAGCCAGTAAATCAATTAAGTTAATTAAAAAGCATTTGCGCCAAGAGCTGCTTTCGCTCGGCAAACACTTTTAAAGACTGCGCGCTCACAACCTGGCGCATAATTTACTTATTAAATAATTAAGCAGGGGAAAAACACGAAAAGTTCACACATGTGCGCCAAGGCTGCCGCGGTAGCAGTTGCCAGCTCATTTATGCAAAAATATATAAAATGACAAAACATTAGCGGAAATTAGCGACGCGTAAATCGTTTAACCCAAAGTCTGGAGACGCTGCTCTAATGCCCGAGCACATGAGACGTGAGTTAACTTTACAGCTTTCTGCTCAATTAAAGCCAGTTAGCATGTGAGCAAGTGAGTATTAACATAAACACTTGAAATGCAGACAAGCAAATGTCTTGACATGCTTAAGCAACTGATAAGGCAGCTTAAAGCGGGAGTGGGGAGCTGGAGCTAAGCCCATTATGGCTCCCTGTGTGCGAGTGTGTGTGTGGGTAGAATATGGTATATACAGCTCTAATGCTAGCTGACTCTGGGGAATAGAGGTAACTAAGGCATGTAATTGGAACTGAAGCTCGAGAAGCGAAGCTCTTTTGATGAACAAAGAGTTTCTTAGCGAATTGTTGCAAGAGAATTTGAGTAGTTCTGTTTTTGAGCTGAACTGCAGTGGAAGGATATGAGCCTAGAAGGAGTTGCTCACCTTAGACTCACTTGATTATATGAAAAGCATACTTAAATTGAAGGAAATCGGAGTATATATAGTAATTATAGTTAAATTAGATAAAGTAAAGTGTCTTCAGATATAGCTTGTTGTGTTGAAGCTTATATTTAAGGTCTGCCACAGTGAAGAGTGAATGCGGTTCAAACATATTTTGAACATTGTTTTATTTGCAATTAAAAAAATTACTTTGATTATAGTTACTTTATTAATGGAATAATAAGTAACGTAAGTCTATGAACTACGGCGATTACCCTTACAAAGAAATCAATTTGGCATGAAATTTGTCCTCAAATCTCTATGCCATTTAGACTTCAAAAAGTTCTCTAAGCAAAATACGAATTTAATTTAGATACTGTAACAAATTTGTCGCCTTGTCCACATACTTTTTCCTACCATTGTATAGTTGTCTATTATAACTACAGTAGTGGCATCTCTTTGGATTAAAATTTGTCTTGAGAAACCTTTAAAAATTGAGAAATTCATGTGATTCAGAATGTCCTCAAAGTAAAAGTAAAGTTTAATTTCTATTCGCTAACATATATTCGTAGCTGTGTCCACATACTTTTTCTTGACATTGTTTAGTTACATATTTTAATTACAGAAGTGGAATTCCTTTGCCATGTCTTCATTTGTCTTGAGACCCCTTTAAACCTGTCTTAGTCTATATTCGCTATTCTTAAGAGTTTACTCTATATTATTCTTAATATAATATATATATATAATAATTTTATTACATTATATATAATTTATTATTATAATTTTCATTATAATTTTCATTACATTACATTAACATTTTCAGCCCTGTACAAATACTTTTTGCTACCATTGTAATATAGCATTTCTGTAATTTTACTTAATTAAGAATGGAATCAAGCACAGTGTCAGCAGGCTGTCAGTGCTTCAGCTGCTTTGTCATCACTTTGCTAAGCTTGCATCAGTAGAGAATTCTATGGTTTTGAAGAGGAGAGTCCAGGAAAGTGACTGGCTTCACTTAGCTTACCTTTCGTGTCTTTACTCTTCTGCTATAAAGTGCGAGAGCAACGTAGTGGCAGTTGAAGCTGAAACTTTAGATAATTGAAAAGGTTTCGCTGCGCAACTCTCGCTATTTAATTACAGCTGCTTGCGTAATGTACATCGTTGTTTTTGGCAGCATCTAAAATTAATGCACATGATACACTTTAAGCAGTGCGCACACATGTCGCACTCTTGGTGTGGCCACAAATTACACAAGAACTCACAGCAGGCAGGCAGGAGCAGCGCAGGCAACTGTATTTTTTGGCAGGCGTTAAGTAGTCCCCGAGTCTGAGCTACGTCTTAGACAACGCCATTTATAATTTACGATGTCACGAGGCCATTTTTAAATCACTGATAATGATAATAAATTAATATACAGCGACAGCTAGGCGAATGCGGCAACAACACACACGACAGACAGACTAGAGACAGAGGCGCAGCTGTGGCGCTCCTCTGATTTCTTGTTATTGTTCTTTTTATGCCATACTTATTTAGCATGAAAAGTCAGTTTAAAATGTTAAATAAAAAAAGCAAAGAAACGATCTTACTTTTGCCTTGGCGTTGTTCCTTATGGCTGCTTGGTGCCCGCGCCTCCCATTGACCTTACTTTATTTGAGTGCTTGGTCCTTGCTTAGGTCGTGGCAAAGTGTTTTTATGACTGGCCTCCGGGTAAGCAGAACGCTTTCAATTTTGACCCGGTCTATTGTTCAACTGTATTTTAGCGGTAAAATGCTTTATGACGGACCAGAACTTGAGATGATAATGGAAAGCCATTTAATGGCCCAGCTAGCCAATGCAAGTACAACAGCAATACCAAGAAAGGATTACTTAACACACTTAAGTCCAAGGTTCTGCACCAACTATATTTAAAGACTGTGGAAATTCGAGAAATGAACCAAAATCCCAAGTGAAGTTGAAGCATTTTTTCTTTTAGTCGGTTTGATAAAATTTATTTGTGGGCACTTTATTGCTGCGTTTTTAGTACTCCGGGCTTAACAACAAATATACGAGAGAAACGTCGCTTATGCGCTTCATTAAGATAGAAATGAATTTTATGAACTGTAAAGTCAAGACTGAAAAGGAATAAAAATCCCAGCTCGATAACAACATGATCTAAAAAAGTGCAAAACAAATTTATTTTCTACGAAATTAGGTAAACAAAATAAAAAGTCAACGTAAAAACTTCAATCAGTATTGACTTGCCAAAGTTTACCTATGTTAGATTCATCGCAGTCTATATCTATCTATATCTATATCTATGCATAATGGAGAGCGCCAAAAAAAGACGAAAAATGAAATATTTTTGTGCATTGGCAACTCGCTTAAATATTTAAGAGTCATGCGGCTCACATGTTCGCTGTCTAGCACACAAGTTGCCAGCATGTTGGTAACAGTTTGAAAGTCTCACATACTTGCATAATAAATAATTTTTGGGCTCATAAATTTCGAATGTTGGACGAACGGGCATTTGCAAAGGGGAATTGCCCAAGTTTTTACAGCTTCATTTTTCTGCATACCATTCCATGCCATTTGCACTATGAAAATAGGCAAAAGAAATCACATAAAAGATTGTCACACAAATATACCACCTATATATAAATATTTGTATATATATATATATATATATCTATATATGTGTATATATTTGAGTTTGTGTGTATGCCTTAGGACCATTCATATATTATTTGTGTGAGCTGCTTGTACGATATGCGATATGGATTTCTCAATGTAGACAACATTTGGCTAGCTAACAAATTGTATACCCTGTACTTGCTGGCAGCAGACGAAAGGGTGTTTTAAGGATTGTGCCAGTAGCAACTTTGTGTTTATTTTAAGAACACTTTTTAAGCAGTTAGCTATGCAATAGCTGTTGCATGCGTTAAATCGATAAATATTGAGGTCAGTTTACAAAATGTATATATCAATTGAATTGATATTGAATTTTCTTTAATTTTTGTGATTGATCAATAATATTTATTGAATTTCGCTATCCATTAAGATCGATAAATCGAGTTATTATAAATGTAAATAGAGGTTTTAGATTAAATATTAATTTTGTTATTAAAAAATATATAAAGCCAAAGAAATTTGAGGTCGACTTAGATATAGTTATATACATCTTATGAGCTGTGTTTAGCTATTTTCATCAGCTGTGCGATTGGAGCTTTAATCTATATATAAGATATAGGTCAAGGTCTTGAATAATTTAAAATTTGTTTATTATTTTATTTTATTATCTTCGAAAAGATCAAAAATAATTATGGAAATTTATTTAACTTTTGATTAACAAATTGATTTTGTATCAAAATAAGTGAAGATTTTATAAATTGAAACTAAATATAATATTTAACTGTTATAAAATACATGTCAGATAGGCAAATTCTATGCTTCATTTGGATATTAATGCTGATTTTATGAGTGACATGTTGAGTAATTGAATTGGTTAGACATTCGATAGTTAGAATCTATCTAAAATCTCATAAATCTTATAAAATTGATGCTTATAAAATTTCGACAGTTGTTTATATTGACATATCTAGAAGCTATTATTAAATTAAGAAACTTTTATTATATTAAAATATTCGATTAAATATGGAGTGTGTTTTACATAAATACTGAAATTCTGTTTTTAAGTGTGATATACATGCAAGTTTCATGAATTGTATTTAGGTTAATTGAGTTTAGACGCTCTGTATTAATAGAAAATTGATTTCTGTTTCATAAATATGTAGGTTAGTTACCCCTTTCAATAATTTTGTATTTATTAATTTATAAAATCCTTAAAATTTATAAGGTCAGCATACTTTGAAGCTGACAAATCACAGACATTTAGATTTTCTAAGCTAGGCAGATATTCTATTTGATCGATAATAGTATTCGATACTTCATTTAAACTTTGCTGCTACATTAGTTATATTTACCTACTAAGCGCTCACTCCCTATGCTGCAATGCTGAATGTGGCATGCTTTTCAGCTCAGTTAGTGAGTATCTGTTAGTTGCCTACTTCCGTTATATTATTTGGTTCGTTCTCTGTTGCTCAACTTTGGCAAATACTCGTAGTCGTATTATTGTTTTCTGTGCCCTACACACACACATACACAGACTCCAATTTGTGCGACTGCTGTTGCTGTTTCACTTTTTTCTCTTTCCCTCTTTTTCTTTTTTGGCAATTTTTTTTCCAATTCGGGTTAATGCTTTTTTCGCAGTCGTCACGACGTCGCGACGTTGACGAGCACGAAGGGAGGGACTAAGATTTGGCTCCGTGGCTCGTTTGCTGCTCGAAATCCGACATGTCCCACAGGATGTGTGAGCGTGTGAGCAAATGTGTGCGCGTGTGTGTGTATATCTTGCGGTTCACTCCTGTTTTAGTCCCCTATCAAAGTTGTTAAACGTTCTCAATGAGATTTTGAATGTTGCGATGCTGCAAATCTTTTTCACTCGCTCCGCCCTTAGTTCGGCTGGCCATAATATTTACAATGATAGTTTTCGCATGAGCCATCAATATCCAAATAGAATCATTCGGCTTGTCTGCTGCCATGTTTGTCTTTCTATTTTATGGATTTATTCATGGCGAGCGAAAGTTCAGTATCTCTTATTGTGTATCTTCAATGAGCCTTTATTTGTTAATATTTGGTAAATATTTGCCGTACATGGCGTATGAGCAATAATATTTTCACAATGGCTGCGCGCGCACACACACGCACAGTCGGACAGCGTATTAAAATAAACAAATGTTTATTACGATCCAACATCAAATATTTTGTGCTCTCGAATGTGAAAAATATTCAAAGCCATCTTTTAATATTTATGCAGCAGCAAAGCAGAGCGCAGACGCAGATCCAGCGCCATATAGGAAATCGCCAAATTGGTATTTTGGTAATGTTTATATCATCATTTATTTATGTTCATGTATATATTTATTTATATTTTTATATGCGCCTCATAGCAAGGCATTCAAAACGACATGAGCCCAAAGAAGTTAGGCCCCACAATGATTGGACAGAATTACACCAGAGGCTTTGCCACTGATGACTTTATGATTATTGTCTTAAAGCGCTGGCCAGAGCTACATCAAAATGTCTAATGTTCACTGCAAGTCATCTATTTTAGTTGCAAAAATATTATTTTAGCTGATTTTATCTTTTATTAGACTTAGCCTGTTCCAAGTTCCTCAAATTGCTTTGATTTTTTTAAGAGTCACGCTTAGGCTTTGCTACTGAAAACGACAAATTGCCTTTCTGTATGCCTAGAAAAAAGTTAATTGCATTCTCATAATTTGACCCAATTTGAATGTGATTTTATGGTCGTTTAGCCACGTTCATTGCCATTAGCCTTGATATTTTTGTTCAAATGTGTTGAATAGAAGTGAAATGTCATGTGATTGTAGTTCCTATCAGAGATAATTTTTGTGGATCTCATTATTTTTTTAATGTATATCAGTCGGGGTGCATATTAGACTCTATTTGTGGTGGATTTGATATTTGAAAGTGGATTTTTAGTAACTGCAATCAAAGTTTAGCTGTTGACTTTATTCGAATGTCTATCTGCACTAAACGGAAGAGCTTGAAAGCTTTTGTTAAGTTGCAATCATTTTAAGTTTCGTTTTTGGCAATGATTTTTTTTTTAATTTTTTTATATTATTTCCTTTATCTATAATTTTAAAAACATTTTTTTATATGTTTTCCATAAAAGTATTTTAATATTTTCTAAAATTTGTTTTCCTATTTAGAATAATTTAATTTTTTTGTTATTTTTTTAAATATTTTATTATTTACTCAATTATTTATGCATTTTATTTCGAAATTTTAAATTTCAATATTTATACAAATATTTTTAACTATCTCAAATATTTTTATTATTTATTTATTTTATTTTTATGAATTATGAAACTTGGCATTAATTATCCTAGTACCAACTCTAAAAAGTTCATTTTGCATAGATCTGACTTCACTTTGTATGCACAAAATTGTTGATAGAAAATCATGAAAAATTAAGTAATAAATTGTAAAGACTTAGCAAAAGACTTAGACGTATATAATTCGTTAATAAGATTTGCAGGTAACCTGAGCTACAGCTTGTTGGCTCAACTGAACAAAGCGCCTTTGCTAAGCCTTTGCTTATGTCCATCAAGTTAATTTGCTTGAACAGAAATTTCGTATTCAAGTATATTTTCATTTAGATTCACAGGGAGAGCATAGGCAAGCAGCTCACACTTACGATTAAAAGCAAAAGCTGATTAAATCAATGTCTAATTTATTCAACAAAATGAAATTAAGTTTATTCCCCTGCAACTTAAATGGCAAATCGTCTTAAATAATTAGAGGGATATAGATAAGCGTGCGTATATTTATATAAATAAAATTGAATTGAATGGGATTCAGTACTCACAGTCATTGTGATCCTTGGCGTTGACAGTGAGCACTGTGCTCTGCAAATCGGCATTTTCATCGATTTCAGTCTCGTACAGAAATCTATCGAAATATGGCGGCGAATCGTTTTTGTCGGCAATACCAATGCGTACAAATTTTGTAACTGCAAACGAAAAGGAAAACGGAGACAAATTAGAAATAGCAACAAAGCAGCGACGAATACTTAAAGAGAGATATCTTTTTCTATACATATATTTGGGAAACATTTATATTGATTGGACTGCGTTAAGTGTATGAAATGCCAATAAGCCGCATTAATTATGGCCAAAATTTATCGATTGACAAATTGCGCGCGTGCCTCGGCGTCAACCGAAACTCGTAAATTGTTCGGTTTATGCGCGAAACGTGGCATGCATTAAATTGTGGCACGCAACCGAGCCAAAAATGAGCAAATGAGCATAATTAAATTGTCGAATGAGTTGGCTGAGTGTTGAGTCGACGAATTAATATTGAAACCACCAACAGCTCTGTGGCATGTCACTAGAGCTAGAGCTTACCGTACTTACAAATTGGAAAACATATTTTACTCAAAGCCCAAAACTTTTGCTGTATACACCAAAAACCCAAAAAGATCAGGCTGCAAGTGAAGCCTTGCACTTTGTTCGCCACACTTTTGTATAGTTTGTTGTTTAATACTGTTTATACCCTGTACTCGTTGAAAATGGTAGAGCTGGGTATGTTGGTGTTGTGAAAAAAAATGTGACTAGCAGAAGGCGGCGTGTTTTAGTCCATGACGTATGCGTATTTTTGTTTATGCAATGAATACACATATTTTATATATCTGGGATTTGGATTACTTTCCCCTTTCCGCTTCCCGCAAAGTTGCCAATAAAAATTATTTCAAAACCTAGAGAATTGTGCTGCGGTAAATACAAGCATTTGACTCTAATAATTATGACTTGAATTGCTTAAGAGAATTCATCCAGCACAACACTTATTCAACAATTAATTTCCTATAGTCGAGCCCAGTGTCTAGTGTATGAAGCCCAAGTGCAGCCATTGTGTTGACTGTGGAGTCAGCAGAGCGCGTGATTATGCGTGCGTATGTATCGTAGAATGATTGGAATATCACCTACCATTAAGGTGCAGAGTATCTGCTAGTCGAGCACGCTTACTGCTTTTCACTAGCTCTGCCTTTTGCTAATTTGCTGCTAGTTTGTTGCTTGACCCAAGTTGTTGAAGAGTATTTCAGCCCCAGCTCAGTGTTAATGAGTGAAGAAAACCCTACTTCAATGCTCAGCAAATAAGCAAAGTTCTTTTAGAAATTTGTTTTTTTTTATATAGTTTTCACATAGTTTGTTTAGGCAAATTTATATCAGATATGAGCTTTGGTTTTCAATTGGCTTTTCTGCACACTTCAAACGAATTGGTTTCGGATGCTTTGATATGTTCAAGGATTTAATTTCGTTGCGGCAAAACTTTGAAAGCAGCAATTTTGACTTTGATTTTTAGCCCGGCTCAAGCCTATTTAATTTTTCAAATTTAAGCTCTAATTGAATAAGTGATAGCTCCACTCTTTATTTATATAATAAATTTAGTATATTTGGCCAAAAAGTAGAGCCTATTTATTTGTTTTATCATTTAAATGAAAATCTATTCGAAATGCATTTAAATTTCAGGTGTTTCATTTAGTTATGCCTGAACGTAATTGGTTTACTCTTGCTCTTGCTCTTGCTCTGCTAAGCTCTGGCAAACAGACTTCTTTAAGTGCTCTTTAGCCAGGGCAATGCAAGGCAAGGCAAAGCTGGGCAAGTTTTGGCATCAAAGGCAGCTCTGGCACGTTGGCTGCTTGAAAAGTTGATGCCTCTGGTAGAATTTTCGTACATGCGGAAGCAATAATCTGCTTTTCCTGTTAGAATTTTATAGCAACTGCAACTTAGATGTGTGTGTGTCTGTGTGAGTGAACACAAAAGGTTCGAGCACTGAACAACTTGTATAAGTATAAATAAATAATAAAAAATATATATGCATTTTCAAAATATAAATGCTTTAAATGCAGTTAGTGAAAGAGAGTGAGAGAGGAAATGAGAGAGAAAGAGAGAGAGAGACGGAGAAAGCGAGCGCACACAGAGTGTTGGTCACACATCATAAAGCTGGTAGGAAAATTAATATTGCCAGCAGGCAGTCACAGGCAGGCGCTCGTTGCGTATACGTAATATTGAAAAGACGACAGTTGGCAGGCGAAGGCATAAAGGCGAAGAGTTTTATTAAACTCAAAATGCATTTTAATCTCTGACATAACATTTATTATTTCTATAGAATCCATTTTCGGACAATCGCGATCAGTCGTTCGACCTGTAAAGACGTGAATTCGAACAGCCTTCGCTTAAGCTCTACTGCTGCAGAGTTCTAAAAATAGAACTTTGCGGTGCATTCTTCAACGCAACAGCAACAAAAACCGCACACGCAGCGTTTTCTTATCGCTTGCTTCCGCGTAACTCAATTGCTTTAATTGCAATTTACGAAATTTCGTCGCTTGGCGCGAGTGCGCCTGCACTCAAAAGCACAATCCGCGATGACATCTAATGTCAATGACCGCGCTACAGCTGTAAAGGTAAATGCAGAAATGCAAGCCCAGCTTAACGTTGTGATGGCAAATAGGCAAGCCTCCATCATGCCAATAAACTCAAAAATAGATATCGCCTCCGTGCAAGGCATCACTAACAACAAAAACACGAAACGTAAACAGCCAAATTCACCAAAAACCATCAAGAAAAGGCTCATCTTCGACGAACCAAGCACCAGCAATGCAGCATTAATATCAGAAAATCGATTTTCACTGCTCGTAGAAGAAGATGAAGACTACAGCGAATCACCTGTAGCTCCAGAAGCCCCAGTATTGACCGACCAGCAAACTACACCGAAACCTCGTCCGCCCCCCATATGGTGTCCAAACATCAAGTCTGTGGCCCTACTTCAACAGATAATAGATAAAGTAATTGATGCTAAATCATACGTAATTAAGCCAAAGAAGAATAACATAGGTGTATTAACCCAATGCAGTGAGGACTATCGCAGAGTTATAGACCACTTTACTAAGCTGGAATTGGAGTTCCACTGCTACCAGCTTAAGGAGGACAAACCATATAGAGTCGTGTTCAAAGGGCTTCACTCCAGCACTGATACAACACTAATTAAAAAGGAATTGGAAACCAAAGGCCACACAATTACAAATGTGCACAACCCACTGAGCCGTATGGACAAAACACCGCTAAATATATTTTTTGTTGACGTGGCTCAGGCCCCCAACAACAAAGAAATTTTGGACATTCGAGTTGTCTGCAGGCAACGCTGCACAGTGGAACTGCCAAGAAGATACAACGACCTGACACAATGCCATCGCTGTCAAGAATTTGGACACACACAACGCTACTGCCACAAAGCTCCCAGGTGTGTGCGTTGCGCCGGGAAACACGCATCCAAAGACTGCACCCGCGAAAAGGACCAGGCACCAACTTGTGTGCACTGTGAGTTACAGCACCCAGCCAACTATAAGGGCTGCCAAGTATACAAGCGGTTGCGCAAATTGCAATCCCCAGCACAAAAAAGGAGTCCCACACAAACACCGTCTACGGGTCCGAGTACTGCTTCCGAAATTACAAGGCCCCGGAGCATTACCCAAGCCACGAGCTTTGCAACGCCTATTAGTGGTGTTTCTTACGCACAGGCCGCTAGAGGTGGACCGTCAAATAAGAATACCACAAGTGACACTTTGTTCACTGAAATGCTTCAGCAACAACAACGTCAGTTTGACGCAATTAATGCCGAGCTCAAAGCGATGCGAGAAGTACAATCCCAACAAGCAACCATGCTAAACAGTTTAATGGCCATCATAACCAAGCTTGCCTACAAATAATGGCTTTACGTGTGGGTATCTGGAACGCCAATGGCCTGAGAAACAAGACTCAGGAACTGGCTGCGTTTCTCTCACAAGAAAACATAGATATAATGTTAATAACAGAAACTCATGAGTGCCCCACTACACAAATTTTCGGATACGAACACTATCAGGCTCATGGTGAAGGAGCAAACTGCTTTGGTGGATCCTCAATCCTCATACGAGCAACAATACCGCATACACCTTTACTGTCAATTTGCAACGCAACAATGCAGGTCTCAGCCATCACCCTGCCTACGTCTATTGGAGCGATCGAAGTTGCGTCAATTTATCTTCCGCCAAACACTGGTCTGTGTGATCATCACATGGAACAGGTTCTAGGCCAAAGGTTGAATAAGACCCTCATCGGCGGCGACTGGAATGGATGGCACCCATTTTGGGGAAGCAATAGTGCGAATCGTCGCGGAGAAGTCATATTTGAGGCGATTCAAAACTTACAATTCAGCATATTGGCGACTGGAGCCCCCACCCGTTACCCAATTAATGGACACAGGCCCTCGGCAATCGACTTCGCTGTCTACAAAGGCATCTGTGACCGGCAATTGACCATTGAAGAATCCTTGGACCTATCCTCTGACCACCTGCCACTAATAGTCACAATCCACGCGCAGCCACAGCCCTTGCCCATTAGGAAACAACTACTGCCAGCAGGATCAGATTTAGGAGTCTTTAGGCGCGAGCTCCATTACTCTTTGCACATAGAAATGGAACTTAACACTCCTGAAGACGTGGACTACGCAGCAAACAAACTGCAGGAAGAAATAGTCAAAGCTGCGCACCAAGCCGCCCCACCATCTTGCCAAACAAGACAACAGTCTCCGTACAACATCCCCCTCACCTTGGAGGCCCAACACCTACTAATACACAAAAGATGGGCCAGGAGACGCTGGTTAAGATTACGCACGCCTGATGCCAAATCCACGTACAACGAAGCCACGAGGCATCTTAAAGCTGCTCTCGCCCTGCTTCAAAAGAGGTGTATCAGCGATGCGCTGGTACGAGCTGAATCGCCCACTGACGCAGAGTTTCAATTATGGAAATTTACAAGAAAGCTCAAACGGCAGCCAATACGTCGACATCCCATTCGGAGCATTTCTGGTTCCTGGCACATTGGTGACGAAGCTCAAGCTGAGGCTTTTGCAAACCACCTTCAAGACCAATTCACGCCGGTGATTACCGCAGAGGCCTCAGAAATCGAAGCAACA